CACCTCCAATGGACTTATAACTTTCCAGTAAGCCAGTCACCGTCGAGGCTACTAAATGCTCGGTACGAGTGAGAGAAGCATTCAGAAAAGCATATTAATTTTAATTTCTGTACATCCAAAACGACTAGTATTGGCCATTTCCGAATACAAAAATAAAGCCAAACTGTTATATTGTTTTGGATATTTTATTAATCCTTTCGTTTTAAAAGAAGATCTGATTAATATAATTAGCAACCCTGCTGCATACCTCTTTATGTTAACGCGACGTGTCAACATTATAATTCAACTTTTTTTTATCTTTCGTTAGCTTAACCCTGTTTCAGTCAGTATCAGGCCCCCGTTTTTAAAGTAACCAAATCGTAAATTGTGATCACGCTCAACATGATTATATCTAAACAAGGTTATCTGACAGGTACTTAGACATGAGTACTGTAGTGTTATAGTCTAGTCGTACGTTATGTTATACATACATAATGTTTTAGGTTTGTTTGTTTGTTTTCTGTTTAACGCCGCACTCAGCAATATTCCAGCAGTCTGTAAATAATCGAATCTGGACCAGGCAATCCAGTGATGGACATCACGAGCATCGATCCACGCATTTTGGATACGATGACATGCATCAACCAAGTCAGCGAGCCTGACCACCCGATCCCTTTAGTCGCCTCTTACGGCAAGCATGGTCGCCTTTTACGGCAAGCATGGGTTGCTGAAGACCTATTCTACCGCGGAATTTCACGGGTCATGTTTTAGGTAGGTTTCTGAAGTTTAGGTAACAAGTTCAATTAATAACGATGCAAATAACTGTCGTTGAATCTGATCCTCCTAAGTTATCCAGTACATTATACTGTAGGACCTGGTTGTGTCGAACTTGGATGTGTCGAATTCCTGGTTGTCCAAATTAGGCATAAAATTCCCCTGATGTCTCGGACACCGGAAAACTCGAACCTTTTTCAAGGTCCCAACGAGTTCGACTCAACGAGGTTTGACTGTATGTCCATCTTTGATGGATGCCCTGGAGCCTTTCGCTACAAAAGCTAAAATTAGCCGCCCATTATGGTGGTGACGTCACTTCCGAAACGAAGCTGTGTCGGTGAATGGGCCCGGGGTATTTGTCATAACTTCTTTAAGACTTCATATTTCATTCTAACACTCGCCGCTTTATATTGCTAATCAATGCTGATGCCGTGTTAAAAAATAATCACTCATTCACTCACTACTATCAATCTGTCAAGAATGTCGCAGCGAATAGCTAATAACTTGCTCTCTCACTAATCCACCCAACATCCAACGTCAAACACAACGTATGTCAAATGACAATATCACTTCATACATGTACACACGGCTAAGTAAAGTATAATATGCCTACCGTCCGGCCATGTCTCCAAGTTATATCGGAACGATGTGGGCATAGTCAGGTTAACTAAAGCACATAGTGCTATATGTGTATTACAATGTGTTAAAGCTCTTACTACATAAGCACAGCACACAATGTAGCCTCTTTGATATCAAGAAATTTATGAATACCCCTACGGCATCCCATGAGCGTTGTAAATTGCACTTTCAAGTTTTTAGTAAATGAAGCGCTTGACGTCTATCCTCCAGAGATTAGAGGGTGCAGCGCACATGCTGGCACTGTACGTGTGTTTTCCTGCTGTGCATAACGTAGATCATAGATAACGACCTTCAATCATAATGGGACCCTGATAGACAATGTGGTCGACGTCGCAGTATTTGCCTGCGCAGTTGCGTGTACCTGCTGTGACGATATGTGCCCATCGGTGGTTCAAAATCTGCCCCGATTATGTTTCTTGTCCGTCAGAACCATACATCCGGGTTTCACTAGATCCGGGCTTTTCTCGCATTACCTAATTTACTTCGTGGTATAACTGAAATAATTTGAAAGCCGCGTTAAACCCAACCCACTTGCACCTGTCTCTCATGCGACACGGGGCGGTCGAGTAGCCTAGTGGTTAAAGCGTTCGCTCGTCACGCCGAAGACCCGGGTTCGATTCCCGACATGGGTACAATGTGTGAAGCTCATTTCTGGTGTCCCCCGCCGTGATATTGCTGAAATATTGCTAAAAGCGGCGTTAAACCATACTCACTCACTCACTCACTCACTCATGCGACACAACTCAATCCTCTCTCATGCGGTACAACTCAATCCTCTCTCATGCGGTACAACTCAATCCTCTCTCATGCGGTACGTCACTCAATCCTCTCTCATGCCGTACAACTCAATCCTCTCTCATGCGGTACAACTCAGCCCTCTCTCATGCGGTACAATTCAGTCCTCTCTCATGTGGTACAACTCAATCCTCTCTCATGCGGTACAACTCAATCCTCTCTCATGCGGTACGTCACTCAATCCTCTCTCATGCGGTACAACTCAGTCCTCTCTCATGCGGTACAATTCAGTCCTCTCTCATGTGGTACAACTCAATCCTCTCTCATGCGGTACAACTCAATCCTCTCTCATGCGGTACGTCACTCAATCCTCTCTCATGCCGTACAACTCAGTCCTCTCTCATGCGGTACAACTCAATCCTCTCTCATGCGGTACAACTCAATCCTCTCTCATGCGGTACGTCACTCAGTCCTCTCTCATGCGGTACAACTCTTTTATTTTACAATTTTATTTTTATTTTATATAATAAAATCCTCGATATCCATAGTTCTTGAGTTGACACCAACAAATAATTCAATATGTAGAGGTTATTACGCGAGTGTGTTTGGGGATGACAAATACCCAGTATTAAACACTCAGGGACTATATGTCATTCTTGGGTTTGGGCATCCAGTATCCTAGTTCAGTCCCCGCACCATTCCACGGAGAATTAAATGTAATAACCATTCCCATTTCATTTCCCCCCACCCCCTTCTTAACTCAGTCTAGATCCAGCCCAACCTCGGCTCTAGGGTTCCTTAATACTCCAGGATTCCCTTATAAAGTTACTTTTAGAATAGGTCTTCAGCAACCCATGCTTGCCGTAAAAGGTAACTATGCTTGTCGTAAAAGGCGACTAACGGGATCGGGTGGTCTGGCTCGCTGACTTTGTTGATGCATGTCATCGATCCCAATTGCGTGGATCGATGCTCATGATATCAATCACTGGATTGTCTGGCCCAGACTCGATTATTTACAGACTGCCGTCATATAGCTGGAATATAGGTGAGTGCGGCGTTAAACAACAAACCAACCAAACCAACTTTTATTTAACCTTATGTATAACTTTATTTCAGGGACTATATAAAACGCATAATTCCAGGGCAGGTTGTGTTCAGATTGTGCAGCCGATATAGACCATACCCTGCTATATGTGGCCAGTTGAACTTGTGGGGTGCCCAATACATAGGTTTCGAAAAAGCTGCAGCCGCTTATTTCCGTGGCTTGTAAAATTTCAGACAGAAGAAAAATGCTCATTCTCCTATTCCATGAAGCTTCATGTATTCAACTTTAAATTTTCACAGTCACCAGTTACATTTGAGTAACGTATGAATATGAAGTCGGTAACATATTATAAGTTTTTATATATGCGATTTCCATCGTTTACTAAGTTTCTTGTTTAACGCCGCACTCAGCAATATTCCAGCTATATGAAGGGGGTCAGTAAATGATCGAATCTTGGCCAGACATTCCACTGATTGACATCATGAGCATCGATCTATGCACGTGGGATACGATGGCATGCATCATCCGGATCCCGTTAGTCGCCTCTTATGACAAGCATGGGTTGCTGAAGAACCTTGTGATGACAAATGCCGGTATGTGTGTATGTGTGTATTTCAGTTAAGAACAGTAAATGAATTAGGTAACTAAATGCGCGGAGAAGTATAGTTGGAGTACGGATGAACATAGCTAAGATTTGGAGTGGGGTGTGGAGTTTTGCGAGGAGAGCACTTATTTTGAAGATATGCAAGTTTAGTTATTCTAATGAAGGACACAGAACCAACAACAACATTGTAGGTTGGCACAAGAAGATTAATTCCCTGAACACTTGCCATCCCAACATCTTTGACGACGTCCAACTTATCAAGAGGGAACAGTCTCCCGCACAGAGGAAATTGGTCCATCATAGAGGGAACAGTCTCCCGCGGAGGTGAAACTGGCCCATCATAGAGGGAACAGTCTCCCGCGGAGGTGAAACTGGCCCATCATAGAGGGAACAGTCGTGAACCTGCTAGACAAACTGTAGCAGTGGACCAGGGTCAGGAAGTACTTATGATGGACTATGCTGGTAGTGTTGTACATCTTCTAGGAGAGCTTGATTGTCTTTAATCAATCCAGTCGTGAACAGGTTGATACCTTGCCTGCATGCGTGTGTCTGCTCATATTAATGCCGGTTTTATAGTGCGAGTTAGCCTACTGAGATGCCATGCCGCAGTATAACATGGACACCCTACTTAGACGCAGTATACTCACTCCTAGCTGTCCAGGCCTTGTTTTATCCCCTTAATGCCGAGCGACAGGCAGGGCACCATGTACCATATATTGGTATGACGCGGCCAGAGGTTCGAACCCCCGACCTTCCGCTCTCCGGTCAGACCCTCTATTCCCTACACTACGGTGTCAGATTCCAAAATAGAGGTAAATCGCCTCGTATATCCGACGAGAAGCATTAATAAATCTGACATATAAAGAATGACCTAAAAACTTCTGATGTGTGAATTTGTCTATATGCCCTGCCAGCATTTGTAATCACAAAGTTCTTCAGCAACCCATGCTTGCCGTAAGAGACGACTACCGATATCGGGTGGTCAGACTCACTGACTTGGTTGATGTATGTCATGGCATCCCAATTGCGTATATCGATGGTAATGGTGTCAGTCACTGAATGGTCTAGTCGATATATTATTCTATTTATTTACATACCGCCGTCATACAGCTGGAATATTTTGAGTGCGGCGTTAAACAACAAACAAACAAAATGTAATCACATTGTAAGCTCGGACATACTTGACCCCTCACTGTCAAAACACATACATAAGAAACACGTTTGTTTAGATCAATATTTTTATTACCTTTCAAGAAACAGAAACATCGGTTAACATGTATGAATTAATTATATACATTGTCACATAACCTATCATGATTAAACCATAACCTCTCCACCATCAATGAGGAATTAACCTTTAGAATTAACCGTAAATTATAACCCTTAAATGTATTCTTGCATCAGCGCCACAGCTATGTCTGACAATGTGGTCATCAGTTCTCGGCTGGACATGATCCGGCGCTCTTCACTTCCAGCCACTTGTTTTGCCTGTAATAATAATAATAATAATAGTAATAATAATAATAATATTACTACTACTACTAATAATAATAATAATGATGATGATGATGATGATGATGATGATGATAATTAGAGATTCTGCCATCTTAACATACAATATTACAAAAACAATGTTTGAAAAAACAACAATTCCATTATTGGAACAATACGGTTATCTATGGCAGCACTTACTTGCATGCTGCCACGCCCATGAGACACTCGTTGTCGTATGTGATGCCGTCCGTGGCACAGATGGGGTCGAGGAGGAAGGGACACGCCCTGTCACAGTTGCACTCGGAGTCCGTCTTGGTCACGAGATGGACGCCTTGCTTGGCCAGGCTGAAAATACACACACACATTTGGTGGTACTGCGTATATGAGAACATTCTGTATGAAAGGACGAGTTTTGACGGAATATGCGTTCGCTATATTACTAAGCCCATGGATGCAGTCCATGAGAATAGCCTCTCACACAGAGATCACAATCTTCTCGATACCCGAACGTCAATCGTGAACCAGAGGGAGGTGAGCCCCTCGCTCTCTTTGTGAAACTGATCACGTTAATGTACAGAAACATGCAACGGAATAATTTGGTGTCATGATGTCAACAATCATATCAATGAATATTTTCCCGAATTAAGTATTTGTACTCATGTACCATTCATATTTTATTTCAACTGCTCATACAACCATTTTAAGACATAAAAAAAGCTGTGCACACCTATTTAAAATAACATCTGTATCAGCGCTTCTGGTTTATGCATTTACAGGGTTTTGCCAACGATTGTTTACAGATTAACATAGCAACCGGTTCAACACTCCTCGCTACGGTAGCTCACCTGCAGGCGTCAGCCTTCATCATACATTCATTCCCATAGGACTTGATGAACGTTGCACAGACGGGGCTCAAATTTCTCGGACATGGTCTCAGACACTCGTCAGCGGCACAAACTGCAAATAAACACGTTGTATTAGAAATGATCTAATATACATAGACTACATTGTCCAGTTCAAGCACACACGGGTCCGCCGAAACGAATGATAATGCGTTACACTCTACGGTTATAACGAACTTAAAGGGACCACTAATTTTATTTCGTTATAACCGTAGCTCGTTATAAGCGTAGCTTACTGTATGACTACATTAAACTAATATCACCGCAGGGGGCACCGGGATAAGGCTGCAACCCCCCGTGAACCCACGTTGGGGGTCGGGCCTATGTTTTCGCCACGATGAGCGAACACTTTTTACCACCAGGCTGCCCCCATGTCCTAATCGAACAGGGAAACAGTGATGCAGTCAACATATCACCCTGTGCGGCATCATACAAAACAACGTATAGGTTACCGTATATTTCTGACACAAACGTTGTTTGATCATGGTAACAGAGTATAGGAGGAGGACATGTTCAAATTTGACGCATTAGTGATAAAAATGTCCGATGCAATTCCCTATTTTGACTTTTGGAAAAGGTTTGGTCAATATTCTTTATGTTATGCTGATCAGATGAATATCATTTATCACAAACGAAGGTTGAAGTTGCTAAATTGACTTTTGTAATGACATTATATCAAAAGAAAGGTTAACCTGAAATAAAGTTATTGACAATTTTACATGTCCCTTTTCTTCACCCACCACTTATGTTCATGTTTATGTCCGTACTTAGTTTAAAAAAGAATAAGTACAAAGGGACGTACCAGTGAGGACCACAGCGGCAGCCAGAAGAACAGTATTCAGCATGGTGAAACAGGTGCTTTTTGTAGCCCGGCTAAATGAAAAAGACTGGGTGTATGAAGTAACCCCGCTGCACACCTCTTTATATAACGCGACGCACTGACAAGTGTCAACATAATAATTCAACTTGTTTACTCATTTCCAATACCCGTTTCAGTCAGTATCATGATACAATTTCTTTTTCAAATAATCGTAAATAAGTAAAAGTGTCAACTAGATTAGATAATTTGTGATATGTTGTTTTATTGCCTTCGGTTTCAATTTACATAAATAGGAATGCTTTATTTGTTGCTCGTGACCAATCTAGAAATATATTCAAAATTATTGTCATGGAACTGCATCAGTCCTAATGTATTACAATAATACATATCACTCCTTTGCTGAATCTATAACCAATGAAACAAAACACAATTTTAGGGTAGTAATAATTCCTTCCAAAAGAGGGAAAATGTATAATGTTTGTATGAACTTGGCCAGGCAGGGTAACAACAAGTACCATCTTATAACGTCTTTTGGGATGACGCAGCCGTGGATCGAACTCCCGACATTCTGCTCCACGGCTGTATCCACTAGACCACGGAGGCGGTCTGTATAAGAACTAGAACTGCTAAAGCAATAAGACAAAGTTGAAAGAAGAAAAGCATACGTTCCTTCTCAAAATAATAGTGTTTACTATTACGTGAATCAGTTGAATCTTTGTTCAGACTTATCATTTACATCCTGTATGCGGTTGGAAACATACCCTGGGAGTCTGTTAACAGTATTTATTCATGAGACTTGTCTGGATAAATAAAACAAAACCTACAACAATGCTATTTGTATTTCATGTATAAAACCCGATTCAAAATAAGCTAATATTAATTCAGAGGAACATTTATTTTGAAATTTTGGCGTTTACAATGTATGATTTATGAATACTTCTGAGTCCTTCCTCCAGGTATCACCGGGGAGCTGTAAATCTACGTTTCAAGTTTGACGTCAATAAGAACCTTGACATTTACCTTTAAATTGATCAAGCGTGTAGATTACGATACGATTTATAAGGTGTAATAAAATAGTCGACTAAACATGACTTACGTCACCACGCGAAAAACTGTCGAAGTAGTTTCGTTAGGTCAGTGAAACATTGTGAATGTCATACTCATGGCGAGGCCAGGTTCGAAAAGGACCCACGTGGATGGTCACAGTGAAGATCAATCGTTAAGTTTGTTCACCATTTGAACTAAACTGCCCCTTTGATAAAGTATCGACCAGTGATGGTACAGCCTAAAGTTAATTGAAGGTCAAGCCCACTGGAATGGTCATTCCTGAGGCAGTTCTGCTTCTCTATGTCCTGAACCAACCTCCTTTGTTCGTATTGCGTTTGTAAGAGCTGGTTCCGACTTTATAAACTACAAATAATCAAGCAGGTGATTGGCTGATATTGGCCATCAAACCAAAGTTCTTTTAACTTCCAAATTACGGTAGAGGCATAGGACAGTTTTAAAGTCTCACTGCACATGTCATGTATTTCCCCACTTATTAAAGTGGCTGGTGGGATATTTTGGGCATGTGTTTCCCAACCCCAAATGATGTCCTGGGTCAAAATGCCTTCTGGTTCCCACTCATGTCAGCTGGAGGAAGGGTGCGTTAACCCGGTATCAACTTGTAGAAGGTATGCTCACTTAACAATCAGTCAGGTGAGGTAAAAAATGGGTGGAGTTTCCACTTCTGTGGGACTCTTGTACTTCTCACTGAAATAAGGTAACGATGTATAATTGCTGTTGTCACTCTCTTTTAATGCAGCTTTTAATGACGATGTCCTCCATAAGTAGAGATCGTATATGACCATGCGTCGTCTGGCAAGTATTCCAGACAGAGTGGTTGCACTTCAAATAGGCTTTACCCACAGAATCCATGTCTTCAATCTCATCTGGGCCTTCGAGCGAGCGATTTAACAACTTGGCTACCCTACCGCATCTGCAGATATGGAGATGACACTCTAAACTGGCGAAGTTCCTTTGTCCAACGTCCATATTGGGTCTAATGACACGGGACTCCTTACCGGAAACCACTTATCTATGAATCAAAAGCATTGCACTTGCGACCAAGGTGTATCTCTGGTTTGCATATGAATCAGCAATACAGCTGAGTAAGCAATATTTCGCCAGGGGGTCTTATTTATACATATAACGACATGATACATGATACACATATTATACATGTATGATTTCCAAGTATACTACTCAAGGTTTACTAAGGATCAAGTTTTGATGACATAAAAAAATCACCCAACAAATAAAGATAGAAATATCCCGGTACACAATGATTGGATAACCCCACAGGACCTCAATGTCATGATGAACGGACAGAGGCTTGCAGTCATGGGCAAGATGGCGCACGAGGTGCTTGAAAACTGTTTGGATGTATCGTAACAGAATCGTTGCACATCATTATCAGAGAGCACAACAAAATTTGCTACCAAAGATTGCAACAACTGAATGCACTTATGCCCCCTCAACGTCGTTTGACGACCGAAGAATTAGGCAGGAGCATAGGCATGATTGAAACTGACACCAAAGACTTTTGCAACGTGAAGTTGTTGACCCAGCCATAGTGTGATCAAGGCATGGACTCGATACGACGTTTGGATCAGCTTCATAGTGACATGCAGGTGGTCGACAGCGTTGAACAAGAGAGCAGGAAGACAGGTTCTACTGATTGCATTAAGACGTCATCACTTCGTGACTGACACCATACTCAGATATGACCTGCGCAACGCCAGTGGTGTTAACGTTTCTTCACTTGACAGTGCGTAATCGTCTCCGTGAGGCTGGTCTACGGTCACGGCATTCGCATCCTACTAACCCGACATCACAGGCAGACATTGTGGATTGGGTGTAAATCACGTCAGTTGGACAGACCAAGAATCAGGAGAGGGGCTCAATCATGATTTGGGGAGGGGTCAGTTGAGCTGAAGGAACCAATCTCCATGTCCTACAGCAGGCACTATGACAGTCGTGCGCTACAGGGATGACATTCTGGATGTGTACGCGAGACCGTATGCTGGTGTAATTTGATCAGACTCTTTCCTCATGGACGATAACGCACGACCTCATCGTACCAGGGTCGTTGATGCCTACTTTGAGCAAGAGACTATTGTTCTCATGGAGTGGTCAGCTTGGTCACTAGACCTCAATGCTACCGAGCTGCTGATCGCACTCTCAAGCCGCGCTGTCAATCCGGCAACTCGACAAGACCTTGGCAATGCCCTTTAATACTGAAGAGCGGGACAATCGTCCCTTAGCAACCACCCAGACACTTATTGGAGAATGAGGTAACGGATAACGTGGATGACATACGCGCTACTGAGAGGTTGTTTATTTTTTACAATGAATTTGTTTTCGTGATTTTTTTACGTTTCAGATTTTGTCAGACAATCTCATTCTGATTATTGGTCACATGATGTTTGTTGGCATTGTGTGGCACATGACAACGGACAATTGTTCATTAAACATGTCTTCACGAAATACTGTCCTTGGCTATTTCAACAGATGCAAATGACCTAGTACCTTTGAAAGTGGTGATCCTTAGTAAATTTCGAGTAGTATATTAAAATGTTACCGATTGTGTCATTCGAGATACAATCGACCATGCTCTTTCTATGAATGAGTGAGTGAGTATGGTTTTACGCCACTTTTAGCAATATTCCAGCAATATCACGGTGGGGGAGACCAGAAATGGGCTTTATACATTGTACCCATGTCATGAATTGAACCCGAGTCTTCGGTGTGACAAGCGAACGCTTTAACCACTAGGCTACCCGACCGCACCTTCTTTCTATGAATATTTTAAAGAGTGTCATAGGACTCTTGCTCTGAAGTTCTTGCTTACAGCATTCAAAGCTTTCGTAAAGCTTTCAAAGTGTTACCGCAGACAAATGGACAACTCCAAATATGCTTGCTTGTTTGATTGTTGTTTAACGCCTCACTCATGAATATTCCAGCAATATGACCATGGTCTGTAAATAATCGGACAATACAAATATGAGGCATCCATGACCAAAATGATATCTGGTGCAATCCCCTATTTTGACTTGTACCATATGTTCTTGTGAAGACTTGTCTTTGTATTTTTTGTGATGTTACTACCGATGTGCAGGATACGCTCACCTTTTCATGAACATCTGGTATCACCACTATTTCAAAGCGACACAAAAACACATACATATGATACAGTCGGAATCGTACAATAACAAAGATATACATGTATCATGATTTATTTGTATCTGCTGTCTATAGTGATAGAGAACCGACAACAACACAAAGGCTATCTGATACATCTTTATTCCTATTAGTATGTACAGATTCATAGCGTCCCACACATATTTCCACACCATGAAGAACAATCCTGCACAGGTCCCTTCCCTCACAACAATTAAGCCTCTCCAAAACCCTGTAGCACTTAACACATAATCATGGTGTGATGAACATACGTTTGTTTGTCGTATGTAAAATAGAAAAGTGCAATCTAGCATGTAATTGAACATAAGGGCATGTGGCTTGAGTAGTTAAGAGCAAGTTAGGATAATAATTTATATCAAATACGACAGTTATGGTATGGTTCATTTCACTATTAATCTAATTCATTTATCTATTTGGGTTATTTGTTAAAGCTGAGGTACAGTGTGGATAAGTGCTCCCTCATGTTCATATCCTTTGAAAAAACTCATACAATTCAGCTTTCATCCTCAACATATTCTTAATTACATTTCAAAAAGACCTCTTTTAGTATGGTCTTACCTCAAGTATTACAATTTGACAAACTTCACTTTCAAATATATGCTGGTAACCCTGGTGTGCCATTTAGTGTCATATCTGAACAGCCGTCATTCTCAAATGGCCTTTTTACTTTTGTAAGAAAATATATTTATGAATGGTTTAATGCTAAACATTACAATTTGATTTATTCATATTTCAAATGAAGCTAGTAACACTGGTGTTCAATTTTGTGTAAAATCAGAACAACATGTGGACAATAAAGAAGTTCCTAACTCATCGCATTGGAGGTGAACAGTTGTCCAGATAAAGTCATTAGTCAGCATCATCTGTGAGACTAATAGGCACAGGATGAAGCCTTTAATGGATTGGGAGATCACATCCTTCAGCTGTATGAAAAGCAATATCTACTGCGCTATCCAACAAGCTCTTAAGATGATAAGACAACAAGAATCAGAAGTTCTGATCAGATCTTGTCTCTTTCAAGAAGGTTGTCTGATAGCAAAGAAACATAAAATAGTAATAACTAAAATCGGAACTTTGCATTCTTCACTTGTACCATATAACACAAAACACTTTCCTTTTATGATATGTAGACAGAAACCTACTGGTGAACAATTTCAAGGGGGACTAGTTTTAAGGCCAATTGGCAAACCTTGCAAGTCTGATTCAAGGCATTCAAAAGCGACTTTCTTTGTCTACGAAATCAAATTGTGAGTATGCCAATCTTGCATAACCAAGTTACATCTATAACAGCCAGATATTGGCACCATATGGTGGAGCATAGTCCCCCTGTAAGCGACTCATTGTTTCTCAAATTCAGTGGACAGCCAGGTGAAGAGTAGACTACCTTCTGGGCAGATGCACCATACATTGTGAATTTTCAGACTTATGAATCATGGAGTTCTGTTCTTTTATAATAAAACAGACCTTCCCATCAAGGTGATCCAGAAGGTGGTGTTTCTGGAATGGTCTCCAGACTAACAGTTTCACTGTATGTCCATTGAAATAAATCTAATGTAGTGTTTCACAAAATTGTTTACCACAACAACCTCTTTTGCCATACGAAACAGTCACACATCAAAGTAACATTGCAATGCTCAAAACAAGCATGAAAACTGGGACAGACTCACAAGAGGTTGAAGAAAACATTCAGAAGATACTTTAATATGTGGCTAATGTGATGTGTTATGAATTAATGCCGTGGTTAATCAACTAAGGCCACACAGTTTTTATTTTTTGTTTCACAGGCTATCATATAAATAAATGATTGATATAGCAATTTATTTTTATTTTCATTTTGAATGCCCTTGTGTGGAAAAGCTGGAATAAATCTGTGAAACATAAAATTAAAAAAATGTGGCCTAGCTGTCCAAAATGGAACCATCTCCCAAACACAAGAAATGCTTGTCCACCCTGAATTAAGGAAGTAATACTATTTTTTATCAAGATTAACTGATGTTTTAAATCATATAGAAACATTTTTGAACACATATCAAGAGTAAGATACAAGAAAAAAATATCCCTGGCAGATCAAATTTTCAGCAATACCATTCTCTTTCTCACAACAAAATGTTCTACAAGAGACAACTTTGTTTCAATGATTCTTGTACAGTTCTTATTCAAATTCAGTGTATCCTTAAATGTAGAACTGTTGTTACATATCCTGAAAGTAAGGCCTCTGATATAATCATAATTATGTGTTGAAATCTGTATACAGTTGCTTACCATCAAAATACTACAGGATTATTTCATCATCAAACCCTTGGTTTTCTTCCAGTGTGACCACGTTTTGTAACTAGTACGCACACATGACACTTGGCTGTGTGTTTCTACTGCTTGTGAAAGTGTACCAAACAATATTTAGATCTTTGAAATCAACAAATATACATAACCCCAGCATATCAAACTGATCCTGGTGGTAAGAATGCCCATCAATGTGGAACTATGTACCCCAACCAAAGACAACAACATAAGGTAGGACTACACAATCATTCATCAAGCAGCAAATCAGTCTCCTCTTTCCGAATCCTTCCGAAGCAGGCGAGGATACCTGGGAGAACAACAAAGTGTCCTTGGCTTGTATTGTTCATGTGCTCCCACTACACAGCATCATGTACTGTGTATCAGACTGTCAATATCTGATGTAGGTTGAGCCTGAGGAGGACGTCTGGGTGTTGTTGGTGGAGAAGGCCATCCCTTGCTGTTGCTGGCCGTGCATGTTGTGAACCTGTAGAATAGAAAATAGAATAGACAATAGTCGAAACATACTGGATGAAGGAAATACCTGGAGAGCATATTGGATATACCTGAAGATATTGGATACACCTAGAGAAGATATTGGCTATACCCAGAGAAGATATTGCATATACGCAGAGAAGATATCTGATATACTTTGAGATGATGGAAGTACTGACAAAAGATGCTGGATAAACCTAAACAAGAGATTTCATATACCACGCATACGTAGGAAAGATTTTGAATATATTAAGAGAAGACACATACACAGAGGAGATATTTGAAGTACAGACATATTATATTATATATCCCCATGTAGGATATTAGAAATACTTCCACTATATTGTTAGAGTAATATGAGATACTACCATGTTACTGCTTGTTGTTGAAGGTGGCATAACTCGGACTTTCTTGGCCGGTGGTTGATTGTGTCCAGATGATTGGTCAGTCTGTCCGGCTTGCTGGAAGTAGACCAACAAATGTTATGAATGCCGCAAAGATCAGCAGCATATTGACCATGTGCTTGGTTGCAATTGTGCTGTCGATCAGGTGACTATGGTTGGTTCCATGGACAACTAGCTTCATGAAAGCCAACATCAAAGCAACAGCTCAGAAAATGGTATTAATACTACAGCTGTTGGTAGACACAGACAAATGTTGCAGTGTTAGCAAGAACCAAGCAGAAGAGGTGGAACCCAGGTTCCATGTCTAAGCATTCTGTAAACAACCCATTCAGGGCCAGGCAAACCAGTGGTTGAAAGCATGAGCAATGATCCATGCTGTTGGGGTACAATGACAAACAATCATCCAGGTCACACGATGTAACCACCTGATCCTTACTTTAAACATGAGGTACTGGTGGCATTCTATCCTGGAAACCTCATTCCCAAGGGTGCAACATGTTCACACTCACACACATATGCTGGGAACACAATAAGCTAGGATACTCAAAGTTACTCTTGATGATACATTGTATCTACCCTGGAAATGAGTAAGAGAATAAATCCGCAACTTTTCATCAACATATAACCTGCTACATTAAGGTTATCCATATATATAGAATATCACAATATCATGACAACAACTCAAAAAAATCTCAACTATCAATATTTATGTAACCAAATTATGATGTTCCACACAAAACAAAATATTGTTTAAAATTAATTCACAAATTATTAGATAATGCAATTTTACATCTGCTACATAAATCTCAAAGTTGTAAAAACATATTTGGGCGACATAATTTGTACTGCAAATTTTGAACTTAAATAAGTGTACCGTATACCTCTAACAAACATGAAATACACCATGTCATGATAATACCAACAAGACAATGAAAACAAAATATTTGAGAAAAAACAAATAATTGAAGAAAACAGCATTTTCTGAAATGTAAACACACAACCAACATTTGTGGAGATACCAGCATTTATCCCATCATCTGTTACCATGGTTACTTGTGTTAGTTTTAACAGCATACATGTCAGTTCCCAAAACTCTTTATTTATAAATCTTAGAGTCAGTGTCTTTAATATATTTTCACGTCAGTTGTCGCAGAAATAAGATACAAACAATAATTGGAAGGATCAGCCTGGTAATTGTGAGTAAATGTCGGGGACACCAGAAATGGCTCCATAAATTGTAGCCATGTGGGGACTAGAACCCAGGTCTTCGGTGTGAGAGTGTATGGTAGAAATGGGCTACGGAAACTGCCATTACTATGATGAGTAAACTATAGTCCGTCAACCATCATTTGGCTACCAGTGTTTCACAATTACTTCTCATTAAACAAGCAATAATGTGACAGAAGTTGGTTATTATTGAATAATAATCATTGAACTAACTGTTCTGAATAAAAATATTTTCTTCATTGTTTTAAGTATATGGGTGTGGGGGGTGTGTGGTTGAAGAACAGATGATTAAACGTCTCACAACAATGACATACTGTGTGTCAAAGACGGCATGAAAAAATGACATAATTCTAATTTTTTAAATTAAAGTGGTTAAAATTTGAACATTATGTAAGGTTTATTTAGGGTTTGCTCATTTACTATAGCACAAAGCATGATACAGTCCAAAGGCCAATCTACCCCACACAAACACACCCCCACCCAATAATGAATGACCAGTCCCTTAGTTGGTAGTTGGAGTCGTCATATAGCTGGAAAACTGTTGATGCATCATCAAATATAAATTCAATCATTATTCAAGTCAAAAAGGTTTTACTACTTATAACATCAGAACTGTAATATCTATCGGAAGAATTCCGAATAGATTAAACTATTCCACAAGAGCTGACATGTATGCTGTGTTGGACAGAGCTGCTTGCTCATGAGGCAGCCAACCGCAGTACGTGCTCAGTTTAAACACCACATGTGCTTGTTAGTGTTTCACCATGCAACTCACACCTCTGGCTCGAATACAAACAGAAAAGGATCCATCAACAAAACACCAACTCAAATATATAACAAATTTGTTGTCACAACAAGTTAACATTTTCATTACAATTTCCATAAACCACCCTTAAATGATTTCACAATTATAAGGGCATCATATTTATAGTTAATTTCAAATGTTAGCATTGCAGGAATGGGTATAAGAGTTTTATCATTACTTCATTAATTAGTCTCCGATACAAGACAGTGGCTTTTGTCCAGCAGCAATTATTAAGCAGATCAAGTATAGTGCTCCAACTCAACCACATGTATTCCATAGTACATACACATAATTCATTTAGAACCAGTAACCCATAACCGTCAACTCAGAAATGGATGACTGACGACAATTTAATGCTGGAACAAATGTTCATTGTATTTGTTTTATTAGTTCTTTGTGGCTATGTACTTAATAAGTGGAAAAATCATTTACCTTCAACAGATGTAAGACTCCAATCCATGGTAGGAGTCAGATCAGTGATGGATGCTTAGGTCTGTGGCATAATTTCTATACTACTCCAAAACAGTTAAGGACCACTCGATTCTTTATATTTTAAGTAGTATATCTTCAATGAAAGATGTTACTAAGAGCTAAGATCGTACAATCTATACAAAAGAAGCAAAAAGTACACATGGGCAGCATCTGGAGATGACACCGCACTAAGATGACATCCTAGTTGGCAGCATCTGGAGATGACACCACACTAAGATGACATCCTAGTTGGCAGCATCTGGAGATGACACCACACTAAGATGACATCCTAGTTGGCAGCATCTGGAGATGACACCACACTAAGATGACATCCTAGTTGGCAGCATCTGGAGATGACACCACACTAAGATGACATCCTAGTTGGCAGCATCTGGAGATGACACCACACTAAGATGACATCCTAGTTGGCAGCATCTGGAGATGACACCACACTAAGATGACATCCTAGTTGGCAGCATCCGGGGCAGGTCATCTTGACATCTTGGATGAAACATGCAATGAATTCAAGAATCTGCCAGAATCGAAACCAACCACAGATCAGAGTCCTACAAATGTGCTCAACAGAATTTGTACTGCAAATTTACCACATAAACTTCTATTGGTCTTATTGTTATCAGTGTACAAAAATGCCAGTTGTGAAGAGAACAAAACCTCAAAGAACTTTGTTAGATAACAACCACTCCACGAGGAGCAGGAAACAGGTAACTTAAACAAGGTGTGAACGTATCAACTTGCAGATGGGTACTGTAGACAGTTGTTTGCTTGCATGTGATAGAACTGAGGAGAGAGAGAGAAGAGAGAGGTGAAACTAGCTTCACTAGCTGGTATAAGGGAGACAACCCTGTAACATGTCACATCCTTGTCTCACCGGGATATTGAAATTGGGGATAAGAATCGACAATCAGTACAAGATCAAAACATTAGCCCAATAATTTCAACGAAAGTAAAGGAACTTAACCGTAAGGTTATATATAATAGATCTTAAAGGTCATCACAGATATATTCTTTTACAGATCATTGATTTTTTTATCAATTTTTTGTGTCAGAACTTTTAGAAAGATTTCTGAAAATATTGTGTTCAGGGGAAAATAAACCATATATGACAAATATGCAAACAACATAGTGCTAACCTATGAATATATATGAAATACATATCCTATATATTTCTACATCTAGGAATTAGCCTACATATCTACCTGCTTTGTTATGCTATGGATGATGTGATTACAATGGTGTAGCTATGAGGGGCGATGGATACTTACGGATTGGTGGTACTATCGTTAATACAGACTGTGTCAGCACCAGTGCTTTGTGAGGTAGTAGGAGGCGACTGGTTGCCAGGCAACCTTCATGTTTAGTGGGCAGGAGTTTGTGGAATTGATTGAAGGTGTAGCTCTCTTTAATCTGATTCTGTGAGATGTGATCTAGGTCTGTGTAAGGTGTGCTTCTATCAGTGTGTCCACCTAGGCATGTGTGTGTCAAACTAGGTCTCTGTACTCCTATCACGTGTCCATCTAGGCATGTGTGTCAAACTAGGTCTGTGTAAGGTGTGCTTCTATCAGTGTGTCCATCTAGGCATGTGTGTCAAACTAGGTCTGTGTACTCCTATCAAAGTGTCCATCTAGGGATGTGTGTGTCAAACTAGGTGTGTGTAAGGTGTGCTTCTATCAATGTGTCCATCTAGGCATGTGTCAAACTAGGTCTGTGTAAGGTGTGCTTCTATCAGCGTCTACATCTAGGCATGTGTGTCAAACTAGTTCTGTGTACTCCTATCAACGTGTCAGTCTAGGCATGTGTCAAACTAGGTGTGTGTAAGGTGTGCTTCTATCAATGTGTCCATCTAGGCATGTGTCAAACTAGGTGTGTGTAAGGTGTGCTTCTATCAGTGTGTCCATCTAGGCACGTGTGTCTAACTAGGTCTGTGTAAGGTGTGCTTCTATCAGCGTCTACATCTAGGCATGTGTGTTTCAAACAAGGTCTGTGTAAGGTGTGCTTCTATCAATGTGTCCATCTAGGCATGTGTCAAACTAGGTCTGTGTAAGGTGTGCTTCTATCAGCGTCTACATCTAGGCATGTGTGTTTCAAACAAGGTCTGTGTAAGGTGTGCTTCTATCAATGTGTCCATCTAGGCATGTGTGTCAAACTAGGTCTGTGTAAGGTGTGCTTCTATCAATGTGTCCACCTAGGCATGTGTGAGTGTCAAACTAGGTCTGTGTAAGGTGTGCTTCTATCAATGTGTCCATCTAGGCATGTGTGTCAAACTAGGTCTGTGTAAGGTGTGCTTCTATCAATGTGTACATCTAGGCATGTGTGTGTCAAACTAGGTCTGTGTAAGGTGTGCTTCTATCAATGTGTCCACCTAGGCATGTGTGAGTGTCAAACTAGGTCTGTGTAAGGTGTGCTTCTATCAGTGTGTCCATCTAGGCATGTGTGTCAAACTAGGTCTGTGTAAGGTGTGCTTCTATCAATGTGTCCATCTAGGCATGTGTGTGTCAAACTAGGTCTGTGTAAGGTGTGCTTCTATCAATGTGTCCATCTAGTCTTGTGTGTGTCAAACTAGGTCTGTGTATGGTGTGCTTCTATCAATGTGTCCACCTAGGCATGTGTGAGTGTCAAACTAGGTCTGTGTAAGGTGTGCTTCTATCAGTGTGTCCATCTAGGCATGTGTGTGTCAAACTAGGTCTGTGTAAGGTGTGCTTCTATCAATGTGTCCATCTAGGCTTGTGTGTGTCAAACTAGGTCTGTGTATGGTGTGCTTCTATCAATGTGTCCACCTAGGCGTGTGTGAGTGTCAAACTAGGTCTGTGTAAGGTGTGCTTCTATCAGTGTGTCCATCTAGGCATGTGTGTCAAACTAGTTCTGTGTAAGGTGTGCTTCTATCAATGTGTCCATCTAGGCATGTGTGTGTCAAACTAGGTCTGTGTAAGGTGTGCTTCTATCAAAGTGTCCATCTAGGCATGTGTGTGTCAAACTAGGTCTGTGTAAGGTGTGCTTCTATCAAAGTGTCCATCTAGGCATGTGTGTGTCAAACTAGTTCTGTGTAAGGTGTGTTTTATCTGTGTATATGGATTTGTCTGTGTATTTGTCCGAGTTGATATGGGTCTGTGTGTGTAGAACCGTGTGTATGTGTGTTGATCTGTAAATGTCTGTTCATCTCTGTGTGTTCATCAGTTTGTATGTGTGTGTTGATCCAAGTCTCTGTTCATCTGTGTGTGTCAATCTGGGTCTTTGAGCACTGACCTCAGTTTCATATGGAAGTGTAAGAGTCCTAGTTAGTCAAAGTGTTCATTGGCTGAATAATGTTGGATACACTGGTTGGATAATGGCTGGATAATGGCTGGAAAGGATGGATGATCTGTTATGCACTGGCTGAAAGATGAGAGAGTCACAGGTATAGGATTTCTGGAACTTTTTTCAAAGCACATTTGATACATTCTGTGCTGGGTGTGATGCACTGGATGGTTGGTGCCTGATGCAAAGAATGCAAGATGTCTAAGAGATGGAGTGGTTAGATGATGTGTGATACATTGACTGAATGATGAGTGATCCAGAGGAGAGCTGTGTGACCATGTGTGATACTCGATAGTCATATGGGATGTTTGCTGGGCCAAGTGGCATGCTTGATGGGCAATTCAGAATGCTTGACGGCTATATGTGTGACACATGATTAGCCATGGGTGACACTAGACAGACCATGTGTGACGCTTGACGGGCCATGTGTGACGCTTGACGGGCCATGTGTGGTGCTCCCCGGGCCATGTGTAACACTTGATGGGCCACACTTGATGGGTCAAGTGTGACACTTGACAGGGCACGTATGATACTTGACGGGCTAAGTTGTGACACTTGATGGGCCATGTGTGATGCTTGATGGGCCAAGTAGGACACTTGACAGGGCACGTATGATACTTCACGGGCTAAGTTGTGACACTTGACGGGCAACGTGTGAGGCTTGACGGGCCATGTGTGACACTTGATTGACGGGCCATGTATGCTTGACAGGCCATGTGTGATGCCGTACGGGCCAAGTGTGATGCTATGTCTGTCTTATCCACTGGATTGTTGTGATGCCTACACCGATGATGTTATGTTGGGTGATTGGGGTGGGGTGGGAGAGATGAGAGACAGATAGGAGTCTACTTACTTTGTGACCACCCTGTACTTTGTATACCTGAATAACGGTAAGCACACATGCATGGGTTACTACTAAGGATACTAACATACACACTGATGCGACAAAATCAACGTCTCGAACTCACAATAGGATAAACTCAGTGGTTCTAAATCACTTTTTCAAAGAATTCTTTTTGTCTTAAGTTTCGACAAAAGTGACAGTACATATTATGACAAACAGTTATCACATTAATGTGACATTTCGGTGAGGATCTTATCATGAACATGCCTCACACATGCTATGATTGAAAGAAAACATTCCAACCCTGTTTTTGCCATGGATACATATGCTTAATGAAAGTACCATAGCGTACAGTGGCTCACCATAATAGCAGGATTACACTGTTCAGTAACAATGCTGAAGCTTTTGTCTAAGCATTTAAGTGTTCCAGTAAGATCACAGAGGGAAAACACTAAGACTGGACTTCACATGCTTGGCTTAATCATGAGGGGAATCAAACATGGGTCTTCTGTGTGATAAGCTATGCTTTAACTAGGCTACCATACACTAACTGTCTTTGTATTATTTCAACACACTTCAAATGTGCAAAACATCACCAATACACTAACTGAAAAACTGACAGATTTACGGCAATGGGAGCATGCCTGTGAATAGATTTTGTTTGTTGTTTAACACTGCATTCAGCAATTTTCCAGCTCAATGACGGCGGTCTGTAAATAATCATTGAGAATTGATAATGCAATTGGGATACAATGACATGCATCAACCAAGCCAGAGAGCCTGACCACCCAATCCAGTTAGTCAACAAGCATAGTCACCTTTTACGGCAAGCATGGGTTGCTGAAAACCTATTCTACCCTGGATCTTCAGAGCTTTGTGAATAGGTGTCATATTATAACATCATGATAAACTGGGAGAAATGGAACGAAATGCATATGTGACACATTTCACACATCTCATATGACTGTGGGGTGATGGGGTGGCAGAGTTGTGGAACATGTTAAACTGTTGGCCTGTCCAGACAAATCTTGTTTGATTCTTCACATGGGTACAATGTGTGAAGCCCATTTCTAGTGTTCCCCGCCATGATATTGCTTGCATATTACTTAAAGCAGCGTAAAACCATACTCACTCTCTCACTCACTAATATCAATCACAAGTCATCATATCATGTATTACATGTAGGAATATCCTGAAATATTAAACATATTTCTATTACTCCTATAGACCAATTACATCTGAGGGATTTTGTATGGGCTACATGACAAGCGCCAGGTGCTAACACCATGACCAAAACCATTTTGAAACACTGTCACTTGACACTTGACACTAGCTCTGTATTCTAAAAAAAAAACCTTGTTGTTTAGGATGTTGGGAAGACATTTTGAAATGATCAAAATGTAAATCCTACTTAATATAGCCAGGGACATATGGAACATATTGAATGACTATTATATTGATAAGTGCTGATGCTAGAAACATTGCTAATAGATGGATGACGGACCAAACCCATAACATAAGCTCAAACGTCAAGGTGAGCTCAATGAATAAATGCCATAGTTCGGATAATTTGAAGATAATTGCTTGTTGGTCAATTTACATCCATAAATTCTTCACCAAGACAATCTAGCTGAAACAATAAGTAATATTTTTCAGTGTTTGATGAGAAATTGAGTTAAAAATATGATTTTTCTCTCTTTTGGGGATAACTTATTATTATTAGTTATCCTGCTTAACACAATGCATAAAAAATGTATCAAATAAAGTTTCAATACGTGTGTCTGCATTAGGGATACACATGGCCTATTTTCCCCCTTTTCACTCTGACCAATTCTTGGAAAAGTGATACCAGACTTACACTGAAATACAAAACATAAAAATCAGGCAAACAAAAAGAAAACACAGAACAAAACATAAAAATAGATATCAATCAATCTAATTACATCAGAGCTTATTTATAGCTACTGCTAAACAAAGATCTGAGGACATCCCATTACAGGTCATGTCAGAATGACCTTTCGCGGACTTTGACCGACTAATGAACAACAAACAGAAAGTTGACATTAGCCAGTCAGAAAGCATCTTTCTTTAGATTTATGGCACTAATTTCAAATTGGCGAATTCCATTTCAGCCTATGCTTTGAAAAACACTGACTCATAATTTGAAAACTGAACAAAAGAAAGTTCTGGAATGTTCAATAGATGGCCGATATTGATGGCAATCTTCCCACTAGCTACGGAAAGACTCCTCCGTTTCAAATGTCTATCGCATTCAAGTGAGAGGTAGACGATGATTTTGACGGAAACGGTCATACAGATTGTAAATGTTATTCAGAATACCCTGTGTTATCCATTTCGAGGTTACATGATGACACATTCTGATTGTCACTTTCCCGATTTGGTAAGCGATGTTCTGATTGGTCGAATGAAAGGTCGTTCTGACTTGACCCATAATAGGATGTCCTCAGATCCGTGCTTAGTGGTAGCAGGAATAAGATCTGATTTTTATGAGATTGGATATAATATATATCAGACATAAAATATAAAAGTATGTAAGAAATATAAAGAAAAGAATGTAATGATTACATCCTGCTGCCAGTTGTTACATTATGAAAATCTGTAGCATAAAAAGAAAATCTCCTACCACTACCAGAAGCAAAGATGTTATTCAGGTTTAATACAACACAAGCACATATAAAAAGGCAGATTACTGAGGGAGAGACTTAAAACCTGTGAAACATGAAGAAACATCACTCATGAAAGTATGTAAATCTAAACATGACTGCACAACATGTGTAGGTTTAATCTGTGAATGCCCCTATTGGCAGAATTAAGGCTGGAACATTCCAAACCAAATCAGACACACAATAAGTTAACTACCACTTGGTACAGAATCTCAGTACCTTCAACATCAGGGGGAGTGAATGAACTTGAAGACAGGGTTGACTATAGATTTCAACTTTACTGAAATCCATCCCTGTCTTTATTGAAACGACAGCTTGTAAATGCCACTCATCAATATGATTTATTGTTCATTTGTTGTTTAACGCCACACTCAGCAATATTCCAGCTTTATGATGGATTTCTGTAAATAATCAAGTCTGGACCAGATAATCCAGTGATTGACATCATGAGCATCGATCCACGCAATTGAGATACGATGACATGCATCAACCAAGTCAGCAAGGCTGACCACCCAATCCAGTAAGTCGCCCCTTTCGACAAGCATAGTTGCCTTTTACGGCAAGCATGGGTTGATGAAAACCTCAATCTCATTAAAATCAAACCTCAGTTCTGGCTACCGCTAAACAAAGATCTGAAGACATCCATTAGGGGTCACATCAGAACGACCTTTCATCCGACCAATCAGTGCATCGCTTACCAGATGATGAAAGTGACAGTCGGAATGTGATTTCTAATCATTCAACCTCAAAAACTTTAACTCCGAACGATAGTTACGGGTTTAACGACTGAATCCATACAATCTAGGCCATCTATTAGCCATTCCAGAATGTTCTTTTGTTCAGGTTTCAAATTTGTAATCGAGAAATTGTCAAACTATGTTTCGAAGCGTAGTCCCCAATTGAAATTAGTGCCGTAAAGCACGAGAAAGCTGCCTTCTGATTGGTCATTCCATTGGACGGTCAAAGTTCGCGCAAGGTTGGTCTGACGTGACCCGTAATGGGATGTCCTCAGATCTTTGTTTAGCGGTACCGAGAACTAAGATCTGATTTTAATAAGATTGTTGAAAACCTATTCTGACCCGGATCCTCGCGGGTCCATCAATATGAATGAGCTTTGTTTACATCACTGGAACAGTATTTCAGTTACACAAGGACATGTGGGGAAAGTCAAAAGATGTCAAGACCTTTGCAACTTTGGCGGAAGCCCAGGAATGGTCATGGCGCCGATGGACCAAGGATCATTATTGGAGAAAACAATGGATGCAAGCTCAATTGCAGTGAGTGCTGACCACCAGTGACCCTGGTACAACATTCTACCCATACAATACTTAGTGGGTGATAGTTTAGAAACATTCTACAATAGACTAGCAAAGACATAAGCGGTAACTACATATATTTGATATTAAAATAAACAAAAACAGTTATTTCATTGTAGTGTATGCACTTCTTTCCTTCACACCGGAATGTTTCATAGTCATGATAAAAACAATCACATGGGACATGACAAGAACATGGGGAGATTCACAGAACACAACATGGGAATGTCATCGGTGCTGCAGTTATATATGGTCATATGTGCACTAGATAAATAGCCTGCTACTTCTTAACGGTGATACAGAGTGAGTGACAGTTGTTCATGGTTTATGACTAATCAGATCATAATCTCCTTCCTAATGTGGTTAGGTAGTTTCTCAATGTCTGAGCATGCCTGTCCAGTGTATCATGAACACAATTCTCCTCTCTCATCATGCAGAGAAAGAACATACATGCACAGCACAAGAAGCCATCTCCTAACTGCAGCTGGAACTACTGGAAATGGTCCGTGCTCTTCAAGATTTATATCCTTAATGTACTCCACTAACATATATTCTTTCAGGTAAAAACCTGACATCTCATGAACTCTTATTGTAAGCACACAGTAGACTACGTTCATAACAAACATGCTTATAATGAACTGATGGATATAACTAACTGTTTTGGGGGGTCCTGTGCATTTCTTGTATGATTATGTATGCATATAACTTATAACAAACTAAAATTACTGGTCCCTTTGAGTTCGTCATAGCCATAGTTGGAAAGTAAGCATAGTCTGAAATTAAGCATGAAAGTGAAGGGATCATTATAATAATCCTAATGTTAAAAAAATGACTAAGGGTCCCCAGATTAAAAAATAGCAGTAAATCTCAAGGGCCTCACTGGTGAGTCAAGGAATCACATTATAGGATCCCATATTCTATTCGCATCACCAGCTAAACACATTTTTCCACTAAATCAAAAGACAAAAAAAGATTTCATATGCAGACTCCAACTCACCATATTTTCTTGTGTACAGTGCCCACATTTTTTACAAAAACAATACAGCTGTGTACAGGGGGGTGCACATAACACATGCAGATATTGAGTTGTAATTATTTTCCCCAAAGCAAAGACACCATAATTTCTGCCAGCACAGTTATAAAGAGTTTTCCTTGTATACCAAGGCCCACTTGCACAAAGTGATCTTAGCACTACAACTATTGTAAGCCTATGTTAAAGTATGGGAGTTAAGATCATCTTAGCGCTAAGATTGCTTTGTGCAAGTGGGCCCTGGACTGTAATCTATGTATAAATTTAATTCAAAATCTCATTCAAAATCGTTTATATTAATTGCAAGGCAATTGTCATGATTGTGTGTGAACTGATCGGCAGATCGCACCAACTTGCTGTTTTTTACAGCAACCATGATCAGACGCTACAGACGCATTGAAAGTCACCTTAGTTGTCCGAGAATTGATACATATACTAATCAACATTTGCTAAGGACCAAAATAGTCATCTTTGTCAAAGGTGTGGTCCTTAGCAAATGTTGAGTAGTATTTATAATAGATGCCATGTGATGTCTCATAAAAATGTATAGTTGTTGTTTGACTGTTATATGACAACATATTGGTTTTGCCATCGAAATTGACGGACTGAGGAAAGCATGACGTGGTGACTTGTCAAACTATTCCATACATAAAACAAATATATGGCAATAGACCAAAGTGTTATGCATGTGGTTATTCATTTTTTTAACAAGTATATTGCAAGCACAACTAAACATCACTCTATTAGTATATGTTACATAATAATAATAAAACTCTTGTTATTTTTTATATAGGTTATTTCTTAAAACGTGTTCATGTACAGCTGATGGCTATTTCCAGTTTATTTTATGTGACAATTACACATGTTAATCTTAATCTCTGCATATAAAATAAAACAATTCCTAGCACGAAATACAATTGCAATCCTAATTCCTCATCTCTGGTGATGTTTTATAGCAATTGTCAGTCTCCTTCACCAAGTTTGTTATTGCTTGTTTGTTCCTCTGAAGTGATACCATGTTTTTGACTGTGCACAACTTATGAAATATCAACACTTCTCAAAACTTTTAACCAAGACTAGCATGTGTACATTATACCAGGGTGTTACCTTGACCTACAAAACTAGGGATTCAGAGGACATCCAATTGCTAATGAGAAGGGTCCTTACAGGAAAAATGAGAACGCCACACTCAGCAATATTCCAACTATATAACAGCGGTCTGTAAGTAATGAAGTCTGGACCAGACAATCCAGTGATTGATATCATGAGCATCGATCCACGCAATTGGGATACGATGACAAGTATCAACCAAGTCAGCGAGCCTGACCACCCGATTCCGTTCGTCGCCTCTTTCGACAAGCCTTTTACAGCAAGCATGGGTTGCTGAAGACCTATTCTACCCCGGATCTTCACAGGTCCATCGATATTTATTTGTACTTTGTTTACATCACTTGAACATTATTTCAGTTACATGAGGACATGTGGGGAAAGTCAAAAGATGTTTTTGCTGCGTTCATTCTACGCATTTGTGCGTACTGGAAGCACATTTCTGCATTGCGTAAAATGCTGTTCTACTCAAGTCCGCATTGTACTCAAGAAAATATGCTAAATACAAGCTTCCGAAAAATTCGCTGACTGTAGGGTAAAATTTATGGGTACACAAGGGAGCTACATTTAGACTACAGTCAAGGATCACCTTAAATCTATCATGCTTTACATAAGGAAAGGGATCTCTCAACTGTCATCATTAATGAATAAAGCACTCAGTGTTTGAAGCACAAACAGGAACAAGATTACCTTAATCCAACATAAAGCAAAGAGATCCCACATGATTTAAGAAGTGTCTTACATAATCAACAGTCATTCCACATGATACAAGTGATAAACATAACAAAGACTTGTTGAAACAATATCTCAAATGAGAAAGGCTTGCTGAAACATCTCAAGTGAGGAAGGAATGCTGAAACAACATCTCAAATGAAAGAGAACCATCTCACATGAGAAATATACTGTCTCCATATCGAATTCCGATCATGCCTTGGAGAGAACACATTGTCAACATCACACAAAAGTGAATACACAAAATAATTTTAATTATGGACGATATGAAACATGAGTAATATGATGCACAATGCCATGACACACACAGACCAGGACATTTCAAATACATCCCTTCATCTGAGGAGTTTAAGTATCAAAAAGCTGTTATGCTTTTCCTTCTGTGAAACATTCCTAAAAAGGCATTCCAATTACGTCTCTATTCAAAATTCGTTCATTAAGAGACCCCTCATAGTATCATAGCTGATAGACAAATATGCTTCCCATCAACAGAATATATGAAGGTTTATACTGTAGGGAGCCTACTATGTATGTGGTAGACGACCATGGTACATCTACTTCAGTTGTAAACCTTGTCAGAACACAGAATGCCTTTTCAGTTGGTTGTTTCACTGAGAGTATATCTTGCATCAGCCACAGTTGGATCCTTAATGCTTCTAAATAAGGCGTGGATAAATTTATTCCAAGGTTTCGTCTCTAAATCTACATGACATTATACACTTTTTGCCTGTAAGTAATACTAACTTCACTAAACGCTGGGTCCCAATGATTTAGAATGAGTGGGTGAGTTGGATTGAATGCTGCACTGAATAGCATAGTAGGCCGGATAATTTAGCATTTGGTCAAAATCATGCACTTTGGCACCAAACTTGGCACACTTATACATTGAACAATTCTGAGTATTTCTGATATGGATGAGCAGCACCGCCTGGTGATAGAGAATCCAAGATGGCCAACAACATGATGCCAATTTATACTCAACATATCATAATTATTTGGTCAATCTTGAGATTTATTCAGGATTAATTGCAACAATGCTAAATATAATTCAAATTCAGCATGCAGTGCCCCCTGGTAGGGATGAAAATCCAAGATGGCCACCAAAATGACTATCTTCAAAAATTGTCAAATGTTTGTTCAAATCAGTATCATATGTTCAATTAAATTGAATAAGGCTTTAGTATTAGTTATATCGAGGCAAGTGTCCTTTTACTTCTTCATTTTTTTACCCAATTAACAAGACTAAAACCTCAGGCTGCTTTGTCAAGAATTAACATAAAATTCCCATAAAATATATTCAATGTCCTTACTATATTCAATGCATATTTCAAAATTCAGAAATTAACAAAACAAAAAGTAAAAACAACCCAGAAACCTTGAAATGAATCAATACTGCCTCAAATTAAACTGACACCATGAAAACCAGAATGGATATCTACAATTTTGCTTCAGTTTTCGAAGTGAAATGGTCTTGAGCTGCTAAGAGAGCACACAGTACATGAGTATTACTACAGCGGCTGATGAGGGAGGAAAAGCTAACAGCTTCATACTCACTTTCTGCCCAGCACCAAGCTTCACCTGAATAACACATATCACACACACATAATACATGCACTCACTTGCACAAGCAACATCTCGAACAGTTGGAGTCAACATGTCTCTTTGAATATCAAAGAGGTGAAATGGGGTTTAACATCAAGTTTGTGTGTGTGTGTGTGTGTGGCTGCTTGTACTAGTCCAAACTAATGCCGATTTTATAGTGCTAGCCCACTGAGATACCTTGACACAATTTAATATGAATACCCCACTCAGACACAGTATGCTGACTCCGAGCTGACCAGTCCTTGTTTTAGCCCCTTAATGCTCAGCGCCAGGCAGGGTAACAACAAGTACCAAGTTTTAACTTCTTTTGGTATTGCACTGAACCCCAGACCTTCAGCTCTCCGAGTGGGATGCTCTATCACTAGACCACAGAAGCAGTCTTGAATATCAGAGGACAGATCAATTGTTCTATGAAACATTCACAAAATTAGACTATTTTGACTAGCCTTGTGAAACTAGGCCTGAATGAGGTCATACAATGTCCTTCACAGGTCAATTCAGGGCTGGAATGTTTTATAATTATTACAAGGTGTGATAAGGGGGCTTTCATGAAAAGAAACTAAAATTGAAAAAACAAATCGGGGAGATCTTTGAAAACTTGTAATTAAACTTATGGTAAGTGTTCAAATGACTCACTAGCATATTTCCTTTAGCATTGTTTAGACTCTAAAAGTTTAGACACATGTTAACATTAAATTCACAGCTATGACAATGTATGAGGCAGATTTTCTAATGTCTTGAGAAACAAACTTTAAGCAAGTAATAATAGCAGCACAGTTGTTACGTCCATCCCCTAAAATGATCAACTTGTTCTTGTTGACTATACCTACAAAATCCAACAAAACATTCGAACCTGCCATATTTCACACATATTTACTCATCCAATAAACCACATGAAGAACATTTTTTAAAAATAAAATCAAAATGCTAGTCAGTAGCCATATGTGAACTCTTTCATAAAGCTTAAGACATGGGGACTGACCATTGGATACTCTTGGTGTGGGCTGGGATTTTATCCAAAAACAAAGCTGTCCAAGAAAATGTTTGAAATAAACTCATCATGCTTCAGAACATTGGATAAAAAAGAAATTGTGTCATGGAAAATACATTTTTCCAACAATTTTTTTTTACAAAAAATAATTATTCAGGCTCATAGTTTTAATAAAGTCATATATCTGGTTTTGCAGCTGTAGTTATAAATTATCTCTGAACAAGATCCCAGGCCCCACCGAGAGTATCTAATGGAAGGTCCCTTATGTTTCAACTGAAACATTTCCCAGTCTGGCTGGCCAGAGAGTGTACTTATCATGCCTTGTCCTTTTACACCTACTCAAGTTTACAACATAAGGAGTCCTTATACTACATGTGTTCCCCGAGAAAATGAGGATGTACTATACACACTGATCAAATGACTAGGATGAATGAGATTCTGGTTAATAATCGATAAGTGTGCATTCAAATTCCATTTTCAGCTCCCTGGGAAGTATACTTTTTGTGTAGCGTTATGACCATGCCTTAGGGCCTAACAGCACATTCATAGTATTATATCATTTTTATTATCATATCATTTGCTGTCATTCTGTATGAAAATAAATCAAATTTTTTAAGATACTTTGAATATCAATTGGCTGAATACATTTTGGTATTGGGGGTAACACAACAATCTCAACAATACCACAATAGAGCTCAAAGCCTCATTCATATTCAGTATGAGTGAATGTATGTTGTTTTATGCCCCAGTCAGCAATAATCCAGCCTCATCACAGCAGCCTGCCACTGGGATCAGGCCAACCCATCTGAAGCCCTCTTGTACGCTGGGGCCTACTCTCACCCAGGACCCCGGAAGCCCAATGTGAGATGCAAGGGATGCGAGCAAGCATCAAGAAATACATCAATGCTAACCTTTACATGTATCAAAAAAACAATAATGAGGAAAGTTTGGGTGAGTATTTCAATCTCCCAGTGAGTACCTTGTCAGCCATCTTCCCTGTATCAGCCTTGTCGTCGTTGTCATCGTCAGAGATGAACTCACGCTTTGGGTAGGGAATACTCATCCCGTCAAACACACTGCAGATAGAAACAGATAGTCACCGTGTAACAGGCAGTGAGGTAATCTCATCATGATGTCTACTTTAAATGGGACTTTTCAGTTCAGGTTACATTCACTCAATTCAGGAAGCAATCGTTGGTGATGACCTTAATGTTTCAGATTTGCAGAAGGTGATAAATGGACCAATAAAATGAAAAAGGCTTTACTACTTAAGTGTTACATTGTTTTCATCTAATTGCATCGTGATGGTTCTGTGTCAGCTGCTGACTGTGATGGTAAGGACAAGACAGTAGTGTATGTGTTCTGTGTCAGCTACTGACTGTGATGGTAAGGACAAGACAGTAGTGTATGTGTTCTGTGTCAGCTACTGACTGTGATGGTAAGGACAAGACAGTAGTGTATGTGTTCTGTGTCAGCTACTGACTGTGATGGTAAGGACAAGACAGTAGTGTATGTGTTCTGTGTCAGCTACTGACTGTGATGGTAAGGACAAGACAGTAGTGTATGTGTTCTGTGTCAGCTACTGACTGTGATGGTAAGGACAAGACAGTAGTGTATGTGTTCTGTGTCAGCTGCTGACTGTGATGGTAAGGACAAGACAGTAGTGTATGTGTTCTGTGTCAGCTGCTGACTGTGATGGTAAGGACAAGACAGTAGTGTATGTGTTCTGTGTCAGCTACTGACTGTGATGGTAAGGACAAGACAGTAGTGTATGTGTTCTGTGTCAGCTGCTGACTGTGATGGTAAGGACAAGACAGTAGTGTAAGTGTTCTGTGTCAGCTACTGACTGTGATGGTAAGGACAAGACAGTAGTGTATGTGTTCTGTGTCAGCTACTGACTGTGATGGTAAGGACAAGACAGTAGTGTATGTGTTCTGTGTCAGGTACTGACTCTTGTGATGGGAGAGGCTCCTCCAGGAAGTACTGGTCCTTCATCGCTTGTTCTGAGGTTATCCTCTTGGTCGGGTCCATCGTCAGCAACTTCTGTAACTGTAAAAGACAAGACGAGCCATCAGGCTCCAGGTTCCAATGGTTACGGCTTGTTAGATCTCTCGATTGATAACCCCCTTTTTAAGTCCAGTAGTAATAACAGACCATGGTTTGGGATTTGGGCTTCAAGAGTGCAAAGAATAATATTATATTTGGCAAGTATGGAAAGCATCACATATGTGCAAAGACAACCATCACTACAGGTCCCCAACTAATGTCACATGATCCAAATTAAATCCCACATCGTAACATTGTGACAGATGTTGTTGATTGTTGTTTAACACTGCACCCAGGAATATTCCAGCCATATGACAGCAGTTTGTATATAAATGAAATATGGACATGACCAGCCAGTGATTCACGTCATGAGCATCGATCTAGGCAATTGGGGATACGATGACATGGATCAACCAAGTCAGCTAGCCTGACCACCAGATCGTTACAATATTTCCAACTGTATCCCTATGATCATAGAGGCATACAAATAAAGAAGTCTGGACCACACAAACATGTGGTTGATATTATGACCATTTATGTAGAATGACATACAATCAAACAAGTCACTCAGCCAGACCACACTAAACTATCTTGTCACCTCTTGGTCTTATTAGTAGGTTAGTAGGGACCATTTCTTACCCAGAATGCCCACAGATGAGAAATTCAGCTACACTGACAACAACCTAGTGTGACCTACCAAATGGAATGCTTTGCTGTCCGACTTCACCTTGTGTTTCTCCATATACTTCATTAAGTTACAATTCACATACCTGAAACACACATTCTCCATAACATCTTACTAAGGCTACAAAGAATAATAGTCTTGGTTCTTGGGCACCATCCGCATCATACTAAAGTTCACTGCCTGTTTCGTTATATTTCCATTATAAAAACAAACAAAAATCATTAAAAATTCAAAGTCCAACTGTAGTTAAATACTGTATTCCAGTATTTTACTCATCAAGGAATACATTTATGTAGGGAGGCCCTTTCCCAGGTTGATTGTACACAACTGTTTATTTGGTTACACATCAGTTTATTTGTTTACATATTAGTTAGAACACCACCACCCCCAAAAAAAAAGCACTGCCCGTCCACAACATATTTTCAAAAGCCATTGCCTGAGAACCAGTGCTATTATTTTTTTTAACCTAATAATGCAAACAAGAATTGTAAATACGGTAAGAATTTTATTACTCCCATTTGTGCAGTTTTACTGACATTTGCTGCAGACTTGGGATCAAATAATTTCCTCTTAGCAAGTCTTGATAAGTCATTGATACTTAACAACAGGCCAGCCACACCTTTGAAAATAAAGGAATAAAGGAATATGTTGAACAATTCATAAAACTAAGCGACAATGAGTTACTGGGAACTCACGAGGTCTTCTTAAAGTCTTTAAGCAACTGTTGATGTTCTGGCATTTTTCGTATATCTTCCCAATCTTTATCTAAAATGAAGAAACAAAGAAAGTTGACACTATTAGATTCACATTAAAAGGAATGCATAATCATATCAAATGACACTAATTCCAGACATGGATTACCTCCCTTTACCATGAGACCTCAAAGCATGAACTGAGACATCTGACCAGAAAAGAGTTCACAGCAAATGGTTTGCAGGCTGCAAAATATTACATCCTATATGCCTAAAAATTAGAATGGATGCAAATTTAGCCGCCATAAAATGTCTATGTCCCACGGTGGGATTCAAACCACAGACCACCTGATCCGAGGTCAGACACCTTGTCCACATGACCAGAGAGGTGAAGCCCGTTCGCATGGTTTGAACGCTGCTACACAAATATAATGTACAACAAATCACACTGTACATAATTAGTGCAGAGTTGCAGAGCATGCACAAGGTCAGACAAAAGGATGGCAGTCAAGTGTGCCACATGTGACCAGCCTCTGACATCAAGCATGTGGTCCAATGTTTACACCCTGAGAACCCCAAAACATGATTTCTAAGAGTTGGAGGACTCATAAAATAGAGGGACCACGATAATTCCCTGCTATCTCCCAGATTCCCTGGTGCCCCTCACCTTGTGGGAAGCCCATCACATTGAATATCCTATCCAGCTGATCATGATGGTATGGGTTGCTGGTTTTGATGTCTTCCTGCCGACAGTGGAAAATTGGTTCCGACGTCAAAAGCTCAGCAAATATACAACCTATTGCCCAGATATCTGCAAAGAAATATCAACAAGCATAACGAAAATTCTTCCTCCTCAGCCTCCTGGGTCTTCTTTGTTTTGTTTTTTTGTTGTTCAACACCGTACTCAGCAATATTCCAGCTATATGGTCGACCAGACAATCCAGTGATTCATATTGTAAACAACGATCCATGTTGTCAGGGTATGATGACATGACCAACCAAGACACTGAGTCTGACCACCCGATCCATTTGGCTGCCTCTTCCAGCCAGCATAGGTTGCTAGGGAAATAACTATTGACCAAGAATCTCCACATGGTCTTCCTGTGTAGAGAGCCATTGCAGGTATCAGTGATGGAGAGGATGAGGAGAAATGGGGTTTCACGTCACCTCCAAGATTATTGCACTTACATTGTGTGTGTGTGTGTGTGTGTGTGTGTGTGTGTGTGTGTGTGTGTGTGTGTGTGTGTGTGTGTGTGTGTGTGTGTGTGTGTGTGTGTCTGTGTGTCTGTCTGTGTGTCTGTCTGTCTATCTGCTTGAAAAAGTCCAGACTAATGCCAATTCTGTATTGCTAGCCCACTGAGATACCATGCCGCAGTTTAACATGAATACCACAGAATACTGACTCCGAGCCGACCAGTTCTTGTTTTAGCCCCTTAATGCCAAGCACTAGAGAGGGTAACAAGAAGTACCGTAACGTCGTTTGGTATGACGCAGTTGGGGATTAAACCTCCAACCTTCCCGTCTCTAGACGGATGCTCTATCCACTAGACCACTTCCGCGATGGCGTGAGCCCTCAAATACAATTTCTCCAGGGAAGGCAAAATTTATTGTAAAGGTAATGGGTAATTCTAAATCTGCGAATTCATGAATAAATATGTGTATGTTATTAATAAAGCCTAAAGACATGTTGGGGTTAGTAGACGTATAACTGACTGAGAGGGCGAAATAGGGGCTTGTATCATTTACATTCTTGGTGTGTGAGAGCATTTGGTAAACATGGTATATCACAAAATGACATTTTCTTAGCTGATACACTTGTTACAATTATTCTTTCTTTAATATTGTGTCATTACCTATCGCCTTTGTATAATGCCTAGCCCCGAGTAGAAGTTCCGGTGCTCTGTACCAGAAGGTCACAACAACAGGGTCAAGATCAGCAAGGGGCTTCAAGGGAGAGTTAAACAGTCTGGCAAAACCCATGTCAGCTGGAAAATAGCAATGAAAGTCATATTTCAGTACACAGCCCTGCAAGTCATCATGAAAAGTTAAACCAAACTGAAACGTACACATGACTGTGACAAGATCTTCAACAACACGTTTAAGTTAGGAAAGGCATAACAGGCACTGTTCAAGAAAATCACTAATCATGATAACATATGATCTTATAGTTCTGCACACAGTTTGCCTATACATACTCATCATAATAATATTGCATTATATAAAGTGAGTGAGTTATATTGACATCTCATGAAAAATATTATAGCAGTATAGATATGGGATCACCATACATAGTCCCACACAGAATTGTAAATTTGACAATTTGTCCTACACACCTATTTTCACTCTGCCTCGTTCTGTCCCTTCTCCCATCACAAGGATATTGGCTGGTTTCTGAATCACACACAGTAATACTGGAAATCATGTTTATATTCTAAACAACAGGATACAAAATGGAGTAGAGGACATCATCTGGGAACAATGTAGCATTCTATTAATGATGAAGTCTCCAGTGGTCAAATGTAATTTAAAACTGACATCCAACTTGGATCAGTATCGTTGTATTACATACAGCAATGACTATATATGCAAAATGTGGATTGGATGGTTAAAATGTGTGTTGTTTTTGTGTGTTTTGTTTGATGTTTAACGCCAACACTCAGTGATATTCCAGCTTTATCACGGCGGACTGTAAATAATCGAGTCTGGACCCGACAATCTGGTGATTGACATCATGAGCATTGTTCCATGCAATTGGAATACAGTGACATGCATCAACAAAGTCAGCGAGCCTGACCACTCGATCCCGTTAGTCGCCTCTTACGACAAGCATTGTCGCCTTTTACAGCAAGCATGGGTTGCTGAAGATCTATTCTACCCGGATCTTCAAGGGTTATTAAAATGTGTCACATGACTGATTGCTTATCACACACGACACACAAGTATTGATTGTTATTCAATGTCAAACAACTGTTTTCCTGGGCCCAGTCTTGAATATTCATAGGCTGCAATGATACAGTTTGAATACTGGTGACTCACTGCATGATGGATGTACGGCCTTCTAGGGTTAATGTTACCTGAGGGCTATGGATGAGATGATGCATCATTTTACCATGTGTACCGGCGTATCATGCATGCATCATTTTACCATGTGTACCAGTGCATCATGCATGCATCATTTTACCGTGTGTACCGGTGCATCACGCATGCATCATTTTACCATGTGTACCAGTGCATCATGCATGCATCATTTTACCATGTGTACCGGTGCATCATGCATGCATCATTTTACCGTGTGTACCGGTGCATCATGCATGCATCATTTTACCATGTGTACCAGTGCATCATGCATGCATCATTTTACCATGTGTACCAGTGCATCATTTTACAGTGTGTACCGGTGCATCATGCATGCATCATTTACCGGGTGTACCGATGCATCATGCAACGATACATTCTTTTGCTGGATGATAAGACTTGCTAAAATAAATTACTTCCTACTCATTTTAATGACACCCAACATTTTGGTCCGTCAAATATGGCAAAATGGGTTGTAGTTCACTACTAAAAATAACCACTACAAACATGTCTCTGTAACAGGTAGCTATTCTTTTTGAACCTGCTCTAAAATATTCATGACCTAAATAGTAGGGCTGGGACGATACACAACTGTGAGATCCTATACATATCACGATACCTTACTCATGATCCGATATGTATCACGATACTCTTAACTGTATTGCGTAAGCCATCTTTTTCATAGACCAAATACCTGGCACACTGACGATTTACAGTTGGCAGTGTCAAATATTGCACAACAAAAGAAAATATTTATGTTGAACATGCACTACTGATTAGTGTTTAGTGGAACAAAACATTTAGGTTAGAATCCATATTTTTTACTTAGGGTGTGACTTTGATCATGTTGATCAATACTTGTATCGAGAAGTAAAAAATCGCGATCCACAGATGAATCGGTGTATCGTCCCACCACTACTAAATATGTGTATCGAGGGCTTGACGAATTCAGGCTTTTTAGGGGATGTTATCCCTTTTCGGGCCAGTAAATGATTCATGTTGGATGCATCTCTGATAACAACATCCACTCATACAATCAACATGATCAAGCAGACAAACTGATTATATAAGACCTGGAACGGACAGACATGGCCTGTTAGCCCAAGACTAGTGAAATTTATAGGGAATAGTTGCATTCTCCCAAAATCTAGGTATTCTACACAAACCATTAGCCCGAAATGAGCTACAGAATAGTTGGCTATGACCAATGGTGTCTACCCCTGCTGATGATGCTACTGCTGAGGTACTGACCAGATCTCTGTGTAGCACCCAGTTAGCATGGAGGTAGTGGATCCCATCTAGAATCTGGAAGAGGAGTGACTTCACCATGTTCTTTGGCACATTGACCACCTTTTTGTTGGCCTTAGCAGACCGGTGGAACTTAATGATGTGCTGAAAAAGACATACTTGACATGTGATTACATGGCTCACAGGGACATTCTTTCAAAACCCCATCTTCCTGAGGCAAGGGCGTTACCTGAACTAGGCTGTGATTCCGGAGTTACATTTTGGCTGGACTAATGAGTCTATGCATAGTCCAATCAAAATCGTGTAATGAACTAGACATACGGTTAAAAAACAACATGGATTTCAACATGCAGATTTCAGTCGACTGCAGGATCTGCAAGGCATGTTTACTGTCACCTGGGCGTTGACAGACATTTTGTAAATCTTTTCATGTTTTTAATCAAGGTGATCATGTGATTCGATGTACTTCGGGGGGTAAGACCCATTTTATTACTATATAGATCTTGATTATCGATCAGATCATCTTCACTGGGCGCCACTATTTTGTTTGAAGCAAATGCAAGTGATATGAGCGATGAAATCTGATTTGTCAATAGGAGGGACATGGAAGGGATATAACTCGTAATAGCCACTGGTTGCGCTATGATCAAGCCTGGAATTCCAGCCTAGTTCGGAAAGGGTGAAATATTAATTAATAAGATATACGGATGACATGCGAATGAACATGTTTTTGTGCCACTTTAAGAAAAATTCCAGCTATATCAAGTCAGAAGACACCAGAAATGGGCTTCACACATTGTACCCATCTAGTTACAGATTTCCAATTTTCCTTAAATTGATGAATATACAAGATATACAAGGGGGGATCCAGCATTTCTAAAAGGGAGGGGTCCAAAATATGAAAATCCTCTTTCAGACAATTTTATTGCCTGCAACATACTAAATCTGATTTTCAAAGAGGGGGGATGGAGTGAGGGGGATGGAGTGAGGGGGTGGAGTCGTGGACCCCCTCGACCGACCTCTGGATCCCCCTATGACATAAACCTTGACTGAAACCTGAAACTGAACTTCACTACCTTCACCACAGTATACATGAGCTATTGTCTCCATGATGACAGAGGAAAGGAAGCGTGACATTTCGCAGATCGTCACTGTACACCACTTTGGTGAAACCCACAAGCACAAAGCTGACAGACAAAAGATGATAACTGGTGAATTTGTCATAACTCATGGTCAAGGGAGACAACTCTGCACCTCAGACTACTGTGCCACCCATGCCCTGGCCTTAGCTCTGTTGAATTGTGTTGGAGTGAGTGAGTGAGTGAGTATGGTTTTACGCCGCTTTTAGCAATATTCCAGCAATATCACGGCGGGGGACACCAGAAATGGGCTTCACACATTGTACCCATGTCGGGGATCGAACCCGGGTCTTCGGCATGACGAGCGAACGCTTTAACCACTAGGCTACCCGACTGCCCCGAATTGTGTTGGAACTGATTATTGATGCAAAGTCAGGGGTGTAGGCCTGAAGCTAGTGAGAATTACCTTGGACTAATAGAATTATTATTCTGCTAGTCCATAGGCAGAGTTCCGGCTGGCTCTTGAAACTGTCAGTCCTGGTGGACTGGTAACTCTAAAAATTACCAGTCCCTCCTTATTATTGTCTGTCCCAACTTTCAACAAATAAAAACATATGAAAATTACCTGGTTATTATTCTTTCAACATCCTGTTTAAAGCAATGACGTCATCTTTGAGGTAACTTAGTTAGATCTACACGTCATTCACACAAAGTTTAGTCACAATTTTCTGTTTTCAATTTATTTAAACATTTCAAGACGAAGTCACTTCAAATATATTTTTAACCTTGAAACAAAGCAAAATGTCATTTCCTTGCACTAAAAATCGACATGGGGAAACCCTGATGGTAACAGACAAGCTGACTTTGTTAGAAAAATATACTTATATGAATATCATAGATTTATATGGTTCTTTATTTGCCGGTCCTCAGGGACTGGCAGTCACAAGAATTACCGGTCCAAGTTTAATTTTACAGAAAAAATACTGGTAATTACTGGTAAACGGGAACACAAATAGGGTCTGTAAGCCTTTTGACACATGTTGTATATTATATATCATCCACTCAATTCCCCCTGTCAACATGGTCAAATCACTGTGCCAGACATTTGGCACAATCCTTAAGTCCTCAAAGATTGAAATTTGAAAGTCTTCCTATTTCATAAGGACTTGTAACCTTTTGCAGGGCTAACACTAACAGAAAAGAGTCACAATAGCCCTACGTCCTTGTTTAATTTTGAGTTAATTTCCATCACTGAAATAAATGGAAAGAAAATAGAAGAAGTGAAGAAGAGGATGGTTACCCAAAGATCATGTTCGGAGTAGTCGAACAATAGCCAGACTTTTCTATCTGTGTGGGAAAGGAACACTTTCTGTAGACTGATCACATTGGTATGCTTTAACTCTCGTAGCAGCTGAAAAATAACAAGCAAAGTGGTACTTAACTTCAACATGTTCAAGGCACCATTGACAAAGTTTAATCTTTGTACACAAGTCAGAAATAATCTCAAATGAAAATTATTTATTTAGAAAATCTTAGAATGGTTGTCATGGTTATCATGGCTTTCACAAATTGAGGGATTTATCCATGATTCCAAACGAAGCGCCACTGGCAGGCACTTTGCATCCTTTGAGCAAAAATCGTAATTTTGCTGAAATTGATCAGTGAAAGATAAGTCACCTCTACAAGACATAACACTAGTTATTACTACACATAAAATAGCTGCCTAACGATCGCATTCAAATGTGGGAGAAATATGACAATCGGAATTGAGAGAAAAGGTACAGATAATCTGCGTGAAAATTATGACAATATCTGGAAAATACCAAACGTAACTCCCCTGTTCATGAAATGGACTTGTCCGACATTGCTGAGGTTGGATTGTATTCTGGGAGTCATCATTATTTAAATACGGGTAAATATTGATAAAGCTTGTACATTTTATCAAAATCCTTCAAAAGGCAATACAAAATGTTGATCTCATATAAGAAATAACATGAATAGGGAAATTTGTTCTTCCATTTAGAGACTGAATCTTGGCGGGTTTAAATAAATTTCTGCACATGTCATCCAAGTTGTTCACATAGCAAATATCTACTCTTTAGGAAATGTCAATCAATGTGACAATCATTTTGGTATGAAAATATTTCAGCTGAACATCCTTAGCCAAAGGGTTCAAGGAGAAACGAAACTCAAAGATATGTCTCTGTTTGCTTCAAAATCTGCACAAAACTATAATCCCTTTGGCATGTTTGGCTTGTTCAAGTTGTTGCACAAAACATGTTGGTGCTACAACCATGAAGAGTCTATGTTAACTGAGCTATGATCGCTTTGTGGAACAATTACTCATCGAATTCCATAATCTACAACTTGATTCTTCTACTTACTGCTATCTCTCTGCATGCTGACATTGATATACCCGTTCCTTCAATCTGCTTGAGGGCATACTCACGACCATCACTGAAAAGCATAAACTGACAGGATTAACATGAATGCCATGAATATTTATACACTTTTTTATATCACAGTGTCCTTAAGGATTGATAGAATTTGAATTTAGGGACCCCATCAATTTCAATTATTTTGCATTAGGGTTATGACAGTTAAATTTCACACTCTGTTTGTATTTATATACATGTATATAGATATTCATGCAAGGCAAGTTGCCTCACTCTCCATTCATGAATTCATCTTGTTTCATTTAATTTTTTTTCAAATATGTGTGTGATGGAGGGTCATTTAGTATGGTTTTATGCCACTTTGTTTCCAGCAATATTACAGCGGGGGACACCAAAAAAGGCTTCCAGATTGTGCACATGTGGGGAGTCCAACCCGGGCATTCGGCATAACGTGGGAACACATTACCCTTTAGGATTCCCCACCACCCTGTGACTTGAGTGTAAGCAAGTTAACTGAATGTTCATTTTACTCATCCTTGACTTTACCATGTTACACAGTGTATCGAATCTCCATTCTATTGTGAAAAATACCCTGGAACCATTCGCTACCATCATGTGACTATAGCTACCAGACCATGGATTTTCTGATGGGTCTGGAATTGTGGTGTTGATACCCTGGTTATAAATCAAGACTTGCCAGTTGCTACAAAAAAAGCAAAGGTTTCAAATGCAGTCATAAGGCGTTGAAAAGGAAGGAAGGAATTATCCTTGACATGTTGTAAACATCATAATATTAACTCAAACGATGAACACTGCAATGTAGGTTAGTGAATGTTGTCTACACCAGTCAGTTACATAATGCTATATTACATAAATTAACAATCAAGCCTCGGTCAGGTAAACCTGCAGTTGACAGGATGGAAACAGGACAATCCGTACACACGGAGGTTCATAACCACCGAAAAAGGCTAGCCTGTACCTAAACTACCTGTACAACCCGTACCTGATTTGGAGTATTCATTCTTTATTTGTCTGTGTACACCTGTTTGGATGATCTGTACACAAATATGGAGGCCCATACACAAATTTGGGTGGATCCACACCCATTTATTTTCATACTCGTTGCATTTGTAACGAGTTGATATGATAGCAAGATGTCAAATATCATTTCCAGGTCATTGCTACAGATAAAACTAGAAGTGAAATAACGTTTAAGATCATATAACTTTCAATGTGTACGAAAATGCTTTTTGAGGTACGTGTCATCCAGTTGATTAGGTACAGGTGGGTATAAGCATGAATTATCCAACATTTGTGTACAAGTCCGCCAAACTATACAAGGTACAGATCTCCGTGGGAACGGATTGTCCAGTTTCCGACAGGATGACCAATGATACGTTTCAGGGTGTGATGACACCAATCAGTCAGTCAGTCAAACATGATCATCCAGAACTCATTGGGATTTGTAGGCTAGATGTATAGCTCTTGCTATGCACAGTATGGGTTATCATGGTTATGGTGGATTATTCTGCTTCAGAACATGTTAGAATCCAGGGGATGTAGCATGTGAAAATATCCCCTCAACTCATTCCTGATAATCTAGAAATCACGACATAAATTACAATTTGGTAATAAGCAAGCTAGAGTAGGTGATGAAGATCTCTAGTCCTAAAGTAAAGTGGCAAAGAAACCGCTTGACCTCTTTCTACAATCACATATTCGTAAATTCCACACATTTGTACATTCTAGGTTTCTCTTCATGTAATATCCCTACGTCCTGACTAATTCAGAAACAGTCATTGTTAGTCATGTCGCTAAACATATAGCATATCTCACTGCTACAATATATCGCCAATATGGAGTTTATTCTGGCATTGTTTAACTTGAGCACTGGAAGATTTATAAATGTCTAACCCCGCGTACCCGTCTTTCCTCTTTGCCTTGTACACATGGCCGTAAGTTCCTCTACCAACTTTACATCCTTCGTAGTCGAACAAATCTTCTACTTTAGCTCGTTCATTGGCTGTCTTCACTTTAAAATCGTAGTCCATCATATGTCCAGCTTTTCCATTGATACAAGCCGCGGTTCCTGTCAGCAAGATTCTGCAAACTCTGGACAGGGTTATGCGATAAATATCTCCGCCCGCTTGGTCCCGATTTCCAAATTATTAAGGTAAGTATGATACAGTTTGTTGGTAGATCTACATCGATATATAAGGTGTTTCGTATATTATTGACATAATTTGATATCTTGGAGTGTTTGTGTCAGAAAATATGACGAATAAGGTGATAACAACACTGTGTGGAGTTCTTGTTAATCCCTTCGTCAATGTATTACCTCCCTTGTCATATAATATTTCAAGCTCCTTCCCAGCGCGTGACACATTCGTTACACTCTACTATCGCTGTGAGAAGCTTGATAATATTTTACAAGCGCTTTATCATGAAACGTGTTAAAAATGGACAGTTATTTTTTTTGAAAAACTATTATCCAGGGGACACTACTCACTGGCTTGTCTGGTCCAGACTCGATTATTTACAGACCGCCGTGATATAGCTGGAATATTGCTGAGTGCGGCGTTAAACAACAAACATCAAACCTATTAATAATAAATGAGACCCGTGAAGGTCTGGAGTAGAATATGTCTTCAGCAACCAATGCTTGCCGTAAAAGGCGACTAGATTCTTGTCATAAGAGGCGACTAACGGGATCGGGTGGTCAGGCTCGCTGACTTGGTTCATTAATGTCATCGATCCCAATAGCTTTGATCGATGCTTATGATATCAATCATCGGATTTTCTGGTCCAGGCTCGATTATTTACAGACCGCCGTCATATAATTGGAATATTTTGGATTGCGGCGTTAAACAACAAACCAACCAACCAATAATAAATGAATATCCATTGTGAGCAGGGGATGTGTATACAGAGTACCATACATGTTAGATGTTGTTATTTCAATGTGATATCTTCCAGAAGAGTTCACGTGTTGTTCCATTCGTGAAGAGTAAAACTGGTGATTGAACAATTGATGCGACATAACACCATCTGAGCTGCTTAACATATTATGCGCTTCAAACAATGGGCCAAGGGTTTAATGTGATGTTGTGCTGAATTAAGATATGTGTGCATATGGTGTTATAAACTGTAAACACAATACTTGAGTTTGTTTTCTTTATTTTTCTCTGTGTCCGTTATGACATTTTTTGTGTGGCCGTTTTGAGTATGGGTTGTGACCGTTTTGACTTTTTCTGTGGCCGTTTTGATTTTATCTTTTGAGGCTATTCTGACATGAGGCCGTTTTGACCCGCTCCCGCTTGAGTTCTAAGTTGAGAATCATGAACGTCTCAAAATATCGAGTCCACCATCCGACCGAGGGGCTCGTAAAATCTACGTGTTCCAGCCATTATCGCGACCATAGTTTTGGAAGGGTGTTGATTCAAGAGATAATTGTACTGGAATGTCTTTTCATTCCAAAGCTATTTGGATGTAACTGATTAAGAAATACTTGAAATAAGGAATGCGAACTGACCCGGCTAGAACTATAGTCACCTGTCTCCTATCCAATGGCTGTGTGTACTGACACCCACCTGCCTGACACACACCGATCCTGCCATTTTGAGAATATTATGTCTAAGAAGCTGATTTGGGCGCTGTGTTGCTGAGATATTACCGATACGACGTTAAATATTGACTCCCACTCTCACTATGGGTTTTCGGGGATATATATGGCAGGGGCGAAACTATTATTATAGCTTACGTCTAAGAAAAAAAACAATTTGTTTTTACACCTAAAAAAGCAATTTAAAAAAAAATAAGTAAACCCCAGTTTACCATCTTTGCAGTAAATTATTAATTAAATCTCAACACGGTCGAACGTGATATTTATTGTCTAACTTGAAAATCGGAATCTATTCGCACTTTTAGATTTTTGTGGTAGATGGTTTATCACGCCCTCTTCAAATTGGTTTTGCCAACACTTAAAATTAGCCTAGTTGCGCCCCTGTGAAGACATGCTATGAAGTGTGTTATTTGGGCAGTACACGTGCCGCATCTTCCTTTTGTGCCACGTGTACCGTGTTTCGGCTGACGTGCATTAAAATGATGCGGTTAGTGATAAGAGAAAGAAACTACTCAACAGGAGTTGGGGGCACGGTGGCCCAGGCGTCTAAGGCGCCGCGATTCGCTGTGCAGAGTTGCGTCCCTTGAGCACGCCAGAAACCTATGATTGTGGGTTCAAATCCCGGTTCGTCCCGATTATGTTTCTAGGTTTGTCAGCACCATACCCGCAGCAATATATAAGGAATAATGTTAAAAAAGAGGCGTTAAACCGAACACACACACACACACACACACACACACTTAACCGAAGTAGGTACAACGTTAGAGAATACACTACTGTGACCAGATAACAATGACACTATTTGGACACAACTTTAAGAATGTATGTGCCGACTGACTTAAATGATTGTAGTTTCGCTTAATCATGGTGGCGGTTTCAAGTTAAGAACTAGATTAGTTCCTTGATAAGGAACTAAAATATAACATAGCAAGGTGGCGTGATTGAGTTGAATTATGTAGATGCATCTGCCGATTAGCAAATAGGTTACTCAGCGAGGAAATGGGGCATTTGCATTTAATCTGCAAACTTTTTTTCTCACTTGTTGGATCCTAGCGTTAAATTTGAATACCTTTGCAAAAATAACAGTTGTCGATGTAAAGTTCAATCTTTAACTGTATTACTGCAGCTGATTTACACTTGGTTTAATGTCACAGAACACTCCTATTATATAATATGTGATGTACTGTTCACTCAGGGAACCGGGGTAGAACAGGTCTTCAGCAACCAATGCTTGCCGTAAAAGGCGACTATGCTTATCGTAAGAGGTGAAAGGTGAACTACGAACCTAGAGGGTATGTTTTAATCGCGCAGCGCAGCGAGAATAGCGCCGAACACAAGTCAAACCAGTCGAGATTATAGTCCATAATAAGCACCTTTATTTATCCACGAAGAAAAAGCCGAATCATATTTCAGTACTTTCAAAGTTGTTGTTTCCCTTTAAACCTGGACTTCTGAAGTCTTGACAGAGTTATTTTGAATATCACTTCACCTCAACAAAGAAACATATTGTGAAAACAAAACTAGTAATTATGTTTACACAACAATGACTTCCTGAAACATTTATTATTTTCAAGGAACATGGGGTATTAGGTTGACACAGTCATGGTGGTATACATGATGCTGTTGACAATGATATCTCTAGAGTGGTATCGTTATTCATATTTCTTCATAATCAATCTTTTCAAAGTAATAGTGAGTGAGTATGGTTGTATGCCGCTTTTAGCATTATTCCAGCAATATCACGGCGGGGGACACCAGAAATGGGCTTCACACATTGTACCCATGTCGGGAATGGAACCGGGTCTTCGGCGTGACAAGTGAACGCTTTAACCACTAGGCTATCCGACCGCCCCCTACACTCAAAAGGAACCTGACTTGGCTGAAAGAGCCTTATCATGAGAGGGGTGAGGTCTGTGATAGAAATTGGCACTATATATATACTTGTACTAAAGTATAGACCTTGCTAAACTGCCCAATAGTTAAGACAATATGCCATTTTGAAGGCTTCTGCAATATATGTTATCATTATAAGATTATAAGGACTAGTGGACCATCACTGAGCAGCTACTATATCGGCTGTGCTAGCGGTGTTATGGCACATGGTGTCGGTCATTGAGTCGAGAAAGTGGTGCCAAAGAAACTCACTATCATTATCATCTCAACCTCTAACACTGTGATCAAATTAAATATTTTATTTCCCTTGCAATATTGATTTTTTTTAAAAAGCTTAATTTATAAACAAAAAGAAGTGCTACAAATCAGCTCACAAATGATAATTATCAGATGAAGCTTAAGCATTTTCAACAGAAGAATGTCTTTCAATTTTCACTAAAACTAGTTGACAAATATTCAGAAAGTTTCAGCTCTCTGGGCCTCAACTGCATTTTTGGAACAATAAGATACTTAAAGAGTTATAAAGTCAAATCTGTTTTGAGTAGGCATTCTATAATTAGGCTTTACTGATCACATCTCTTATTTTTTCTTAATTTGAAAAGTTTAATGTGATGAATGCATTTAAGTTTAGTTCCTAAAATTCAGCAGTCAGGGTCTTGTGGTTTCTGAGACATATATTCATTATGGTTTATAAGAGTTTGATTTATTAAATTTTTTGTTTTTCTTTGATATTTTATTTCACTGGTGTGAACAAAAGTAAGTCCCATTTTGCTACTACAATCTGTATGAATGCTTCCGACTCCTAGATTAATGGATTTGTAATCCTTTTCAAAAAAATTAAAAATGAACAAATCTTATCCCCATTATGGTGCTAGACATCTAGTGTCTAAAATTTAGATAAACTCCAGTCGGACTGGCATGTCTATAATAAATTGCCAGTCCCTTCAAAATGTTGACAGTCCAGACAAAGCTCCTTAGAGCAATTGAACCAACTTGCAATGCAATATTCAATAACCAAAACATGGAATACCCTCTTCAAAATTCAAGCCAAAGTTTTTCTTCTTATGCGCTGTGATGGATGCAGATACATATTTTGCCAATTGGCGATGAGTTCATTAGACAAAGTTGATAACCCTCTGAATGTCATTATCTAAATGCCACTCACCAAATGAGTTCTCATCCTTTATTTGGCTGACTAAATCTAAAAGAAATTAATATCAGCCAGACCATAGTATCTTCATGTTTTAAAAGTTGACAATCCATGACAAAAAAACAGCCCTTGTCAGCAGTGCAGGAAGGTATATTAATAACTGACACATCCCGCTACAGTTACATTTTGAGATCCTTCCAACGAGGCATGTTGTAGTCGTAAGTTGAAAGACAGATGACATGCAGGCCAATGGCGGCAAGCATGTCATGTAGTAAGCTAACTTGGATGCTTGGTCCAGATGAGAAAAAGACAGATGATAGATGAGGACAACAAGCTCCATATGTCACACAACGTATTTATTCCTGAATTTACACACACTATGGCAACGTTATCCAGGATAATGACTTGTCCTCGACCATTGAGGGATCCAAGGTGAATAAAGTTCCCAAGCTGTTCCCCATTATTTATCTAGATAGTGTCATTAATACATGAACTTCCACGTTCTGTCCTTGTAACTGATCTCACCAGCACGATACTTCTTCTCTCTCTCCCTCTGAAACAGTGGAAGCAGCAACATGAAATGAGCTGTTAAATCACAACACAGTGACACTAGGATATAGCTAGGACTACAAGCCAAGGGACTGACCATTTGATATTCAGAGAGGGAGGGAGGAGGGGATGAGGTAGATTTTAACCCCCCCCCCCCCCCCCCCATCCCACACACACACACACACACAGAAATTGTCCAAGAAAGTTCTTGAAATAACTGGCAGCCACAAAAAATGTGGTGTTTTTTCTTAAAAATATATTCAGGTTCATAGTTTTAATTTAAAATATATATCTCAGGTTTTGCCACTGTAATGAAAAACTATCTAATCCAGACAACATCCCAGCCCCCAGCCCCCAGCCCCCTAAATTGGGGAAAAACATTTTTTTACGTTCCAAACTCAGATTAAACAACATTGTATTTTAACACTGCATTCAATGCAATGATATAAAAATAAACAGTAGTCATGTTTGTTATAACTCTAATAACAGGAGTGTGGACAATTTTAATCCCAATTTTGGAATTTGTTCTGACATCTGCAGCACACTTGGTGTGGTGCCAAATATCGGCTGATGAGCCTGCAGATACATCCCTGGTGTCAGTACATTAACACGATAACAATTATTATACTCATGGTGGTATAACAGTAATTACTGGTTCGAGATGCTATGTGTGCAAACACATGATACAAACCTTGTTTATCTGGACACCTGCATTTTCTCCAATATTGTCCAGAGAAACAAGGTACTGGATATCTAAATCCCTTAACTGACCAGAGTTACCTCCCCTACCCAAAATTTAACAAGCTATAAAAAAAACTTTTGTTCCTAATGCATAACCCCACCCCATAGTCAAATGACTGGTAATAGGTAATGGGCAAACAGGAGGCTGTAGGTAATTAGCACAAATAGGTAATAGCAATGGACAAATGGAAACCAGCTGATTAACCAGCACAGACAATAATCAAAGCAGATAGGTTTCTTCGTTCATGGCTTGCTGGTGCCTCCTGATGTCAATGGCTTCTTGTAGTTTTCAGCGACAATTAACTGTTGGCTTCCCTTGTTGGTTTTTATGTTTATTTCCACCAGAAGACATATTATCCCCTTGTTAAGTTTCCACATTTGTTATCTTTACTGAAACATATGTATTGCTTTTTCTGCTTGATCTTCCGCTGTTTTATGGGAGAGAGATACAGATAATATTTTAATCTACTGGTGAGTGGTGGAATATTTATTCAGGGACTTCTTAGTGGACATTTGAGATATAACAAAAACAGTTACTTTCCATCTTCAGCAATAAACATTTATGTAAGGTATTATTGATGACACAATTTTCATATCGACAATTGCTAATATTTCTCCCCATCGATGATAATTCCGATTATCAATCTTTTTTGCCAGCCCTACAGAGAGCATCATCTTACATTAAGGTGAACACTTACCCTTCCTGAAATAGTCAGATATGAGAAAATGGCTACTGGCAATATGACGAAAGCAAAGCCCTGCCACACAGTCTTAGGTGAAGCCTTGAAGTAATCAACCTGGGATGACCTCATCGACATGAACCGTTGTATAGCAGGATCAAACTGAAACAGAACCACAAGACACATCATTTTTATCCAGAATGCAGAGCTCCAGATAAGCTGAGTATCTGCGTAAAATATGCATCAGAAATAAAATTCAAGCGTATCAAATACGCAACGAACATTACAGATATGCTACAAAAATAAAACTTGCGCGTATCATCAAAATATTGGGAAGTAACCCTGCGTATTTGATTAGCAAATCAGCAACTTATGTTGAAATTATATACGGACATTACGTCAACCTTGCCAAACTCCACGATGACAGTTACATCATGATCATTTGCCATCCCACTTTCTTGTGGAAGTATCGCAGTATTTTTGAGTCCTATAAAGCTCTCGAACCCACACAACACCAGTTTGCAGGGACTAGATGAATAGTGTTTTTAAATATTTAACTTAAATACCCACATGTGTAAAAACTAGTGGGTAACAGAAATTTTAATACCCAGATAGAATTACTGATACCCAATAATTTTAAAATGCATGGGTAAAATACCCACTACACCAAAAGCTTATCTGGAGCTCTGAGAATGACACTTTAACTATTAGTTAAGTGATATGCTTTACAAAATACATGTACACATACTCCATGTACTCTGTCGGCCTTATCTTCCACAGAGTGTTACATAACTCCTTTCCTACATGAGATGATGTTATATTTTAACATGTTGAATAAATCTCTGAATCGTGCATAATTCTAGTCATAGGCTACTATGCCTTCGGCAGTTCTCGCAGTATAATTGCTTTTTCAAAAATTTTGTGCACCTGAAAATTAGTAAACATGGCTGAGATATTATAACCATGATAACTGACTATTTTCATATAATCATTATGATCATAGGAGCAAGAAGAGCACAGAGGATACCAAATTTTAATATGAAAATACATAGAATCAAGTTGAAGAAATAAGTTGTTGAAACCTGGCGCGGGATTAGACTTTTATTAAGCACTGGTAAACACACAATTTGCTATGTTTTGTTTGTTGTTATTTTGAGTGAGTCTGTGCAAAGGCATTTTGGACAGCGACAAATGGGGTGTTTTCTGCCAGCAAAATGTGGGGCTGTCATGGCATGTCAGCGTTTTAGCCAGATATGATGTGAAATATGTGTCAGACCATTGACAGGTTGAGTATCTTGATAAACTTGTGCAAATATGTCAGGTAAAATCAGCTTATGAATATCTCTGAAAATGGCAATTTTCTACTTGTCCTTGTGATACCTTAACTATTAGGGCTTTTGTCGAGGACTTGAGTACTAGTGCCAATTTCTATCACTAGATGTGTGTATCCTAATGTTGTTTAGCATGTTTAGATTTTAAACAAATAAGGACTAGTGGACTTTTTATGTTAAGTTTCTATCACCGACATCTGACCAATTTTAGCAACATAAAGACAATAACATGACCATTTGCTTACAGCGTAGGTGTGTTAACATTGTCAAGGACTTGAAAATAAGGGACATGAGCAATGACTAATTAGGTTATGAAGTAAGAAAAATCTGCCCGTCGAAGTGACCAGGACACCGACAGCAAGTTATTTTATAGACGAGCGTTTAGCCCTGGTAGCAGTACTACAGCATGACTAAACTCGGGGAACTTTATAAACACTGTTACTGTATTAGGAGCATTAGCCCTGTGACGCATCACTCTCTCGCTGATAACAAATGCCGGGAAGGCCGTGTTGTGAACGAACGGTAAGACTGAGTGCTGAAGGTCATACAAAGATACAAACCATAAATCCTCCATTGTTTGCACCTTGGTGGGGGTTTGTGACTTTCTTTTGAAATTCCGCTTTTAATGCAGACCGCATCTTTGCTCTTTCTTGCACAGCTTTCAATTCATCTGCACTAACATCAAACACTTTCCAAGGATCCCACGGTCGTTTCGGTGCCGCCATGTTTGTTTGTAGCCGGAAATGGAATCCGACTTCCTTGAAATCCGGAAAACATGCATTAGTTTATACCGGATCAATTTAATCCGGAGCGAACCACAGTGATTAACTTTGGTAAAATTATATGTTAAATATTGTAATTGTGTCAACAATAACTTCAGTTTTGTGAAATCATTAAAGTTAAAAAAATTAGCAAACATACTTTAGTGTATCTAAAACATCGGTAACATAAGTTTTGTGTTTATTACGACACTGTGGGATCTCTCTCTCTCTCAATTTGCAAACAAAATGTCTGCAGCTGCTACATTTTATTTGTTTAATTGTTCTACGAGACTTTACTCTTGATATCCTTAAGTGCTTAAGGTTTTCTTGAGTCTGATGTTTATTGAAAGCTATTTCCTGTTTTTGTTGTAGCTTTTTGGCAGTCATACTAACACGTGGAGTTTACGATGTCTTTGAGATTGTTTCAGTGGCAATGTTTATTAAGGTATCAGAAAACAATTTCAATGGTCAAGATCATTTTTTAAATGATCAGTGTTCAATCGATTACTAAACAAAGTACGAAAAGACAGGCAAATCAGCCTTGGAAAATTGCCATTGGAAATAGAACTATCCACAAAGTGAGAGATAGCTTTAAGTCCGGTAGGAAAGTGATCGCTGCCGCACAAATCACCATGAACTGAACAAGAAAATTCATTAAAGAGAGATGGGTCAGAAACAGACAAACCCAAAGCAGAGTACGTACCTGTTGCTGGATGGCGGTAGGTGCTACTTCCATCATGAAGAAAGCATAGGCTATGCTTATCAAGCAATTATTCTAGCACTTTTCTCCTTATCATTCTGATGAGATGAACCCCATAAGGGATTGTGACCATTTAAGTCAATGGACATATCCAGATCCCCATTTGAGTGAGTGAGTGTGGTTTTACGCCGCTTTTAGCAATATTCCAGCAATATCCCGGCGGGGGACACCAGAAATGGGCTTCACCAATTGTACCCATGTCGGGGATCGAATCCGGGTCTTCGGCGTTACGATCGAACGCTTTAACCACCAGGCTACCCGACCGCCGCTGATACCCATTTGAAGAGAGATGATTGAGGTATATATGATCAGCATAAAGTTATTTCATGTAATCTAAAATACCAAATCTATTGAAAATGGATATAGGGTATCTGTATCCTTTTGTATCGGTTTTATTGAGTGGTCATTTCAAATGACCAAACTTGGCATTGTTTTGATGATCATGAGGACATGTGTGAACCAGAGCAATGAACACATTTAAGTTCAGATTTTCATGTGCTGCTATCATGATCTTCGCTGCCTCAACGATAGCAAGCAGCATGATTGTTACATGTTTTCTGTCCATGGCCAAGTGTCTGGCAATTAAAGCATCTGAGATGATTGGAAACATACTTGTCAATTCTCAAAGAGGAGCAACCTACTTTAATTGTTTGATGTAACATTGGAACATTAATCTTAAGCAGGCATGTGTTGGAAAGTGAATAGACTCATTCCTTCTTAAGTTGAAACGCTCAGCCTCAACTACACCCTGCATACGTAATTGACTCACAACGTTGAGAGATCAGCAAGACTCTTATCTCTGTCATCGATAATTCCTTTGCTGAAGTTCAGAAATTTAGGTGGTTAGCAGGTTGCTTCGATAAGATTTAAGAACAGCACCATATCTAATTTTCGTGACATTCTTTAAAGTTCCAGCGATACCTTTGATTGCTTTTTTCTAAAAAGTAGAACAAGAAGTCATTGGATTTTCATTAGATTCAGCAACGATGAACCGAGGCCAGGTTTCACGTTCTGGATAGCATAGTCTGGTGATCATATCTTCCTCATCATCAGTGTCATCTGTATGATAACGTAAATGCCTGTGGGTCTCCAGCAGTCGGTACCAAGCCTACACCGAGGGCATACTCAAGCAGAAACATAACTGACGTACCACTAGATTGGCCCATGAAACTCTTGGCAAATACTGCAAATAATTCAACATTCAAACAAACATATTTGGTTTCAGAACAATTTCAGAAGAAGAAAATTTGCAAAATAAGGACGAAATTGGGTGAAATCCTTGCATAAACAGATAACGCACAGGGCTTGGCATGACCAGTCGATTGTTGGACCGGGCCCATCCTACCACCCGTCTCGGCGAATTAAGAGTCGAAGTGGTGTATTTGGCACAGGAACACTATTCCTGGAACCTATGCCCTCAACCACCACTGGGGCACAACCCAGGGCCAACGGGATGCCAATTCGGTCGCCTTTTACGACCAGCAATGGGGTGCTGGGGACACATTCTACTCCCCACGGGGAGTGCCGTAACCGGCACATGCAGATAAGAGCTACAGAACCCTTTCCACATTCATAAGAAATCTCTGCTAAAAGCAGAGTCGTTTTACGATTCCGACTATATCATGAGCATGTGGAAATGATTTCTATCAAATAGTGATGATTCCAGGTGTGCGCGAAAGCGTCATCGTATTCTGTCCCACCTGTGGCATCCGTCACAAACACATGCTAAGGCAAGTCAGTTGTTCACCCGAAAGAAACCAAGTACACGTGAAAGTAGAGAAGTGTATCAGACATAATTTTTTGTCACTGGTGAGTCAAAATTGGAAATGCCCTCCACATGTCTACTATAAAACGCTGTGAAACCGTCACTGAGACAGTGGATGATTTTTTGACCAAGTGTCTTATGAAATCTTCGTAGAAAAACCTCTCCGTTAAAGTACCACACACATGGCCTTGTAAAAGTCACGGAAAAAATCTCTTGAAACCCATATATGTTTTTCTTTTGCAGATAAGTCTATATCGAGAGATAAAACAAGTCGAAAAATAACTGGATGCCATCTGGTCCTAAGAAACGTACGTGGCGAATTCTGGTATTCTTTTTGTCGGACAACGTACGATAAGAAGATTTCATAAAATGTAAGGTACAAGCCAAACTGTATAGCCTATGACATTGTCAAGAATTAACGGCTCGACTCAAAATGAAATAACTGAAATCCAATTGGCATTATTATATGAGAGTACGCAGAATGGCTGTTGTGTCTATTTGGACCCAAAAGGATAAAATAATCTTTTTTTCAATCACGCGAGTTGCTGATGTGTTGTGTTTAATGAATGGTTCGTTACCATGGTTACAGGTCACGTTCCGCATGTAGGCATATTGAAGTAAGCAGAAAACGAAGACACAAACTTTTTTTGTAAACAACAACTTCTATTACCTGTATTAACGACGTTGCAGGGCTACGCCTTACGCCTTCATCAGGTGCACAAAGTAAGCGTATACATTGTTATCTTTGTACCTTAATCCTACCCCGAATAAATGAGTGAATGAGTGAGTTACAATGTTACATCGCATCGGCAATATTGCAGCCATATTGCGATGAGAACTATAATCCTAATTATTATTAAATACCTGTCGACAAAAGGACAGTAAAACACCAAGGCAAGTATCTCATTTTTTGGTATAAAACAAACCAGATCGCACTTAAATAAGTTTTCAGTAGACTAGTTTGTAGAAATTAACACTGGGCTATAGACCACCAGCAACCAAAGGTAGACCACCTTATTGGAGATCATGGGGACTTACAATGATTTTTCATATCAGCATGTAAATATATAATAACATAAAATAATAATTCACATTCAAATATTCACCCAATGATGAGTCAATATGTAACCCCGAAACATCGTAGAATTTGTTATCCATAAACAGAAGTTTCACAGGTATCGTTACGTCTCTGTTGTCTGGTTTTATGTTTCATTTGCGAAAGTACACGCTCGTTTGAACAACTGGATGTACATGGTGCTTATTGATATAATTATAGCCAGATACGTAAAACCGGATGCTGATGATGATGATGACCGATATCACACATGTAAAGATGTTTTCTGAGTCCTTTTCAAACTTAACGACAAGGTTCTTTCGCCAGTCGACAGTCACAATCCAGTAATCATTTTAATAAGCCTTAACTGTATATTGAAAATGGAATGGGCACTGGTCTCTTTTGCTGTCAATAGGCAGTGTATACAGTGACACGACGGTGGCGATCCACCATCAACGGTTGGCGCAGGGAGGTAGTGCTCGCTATGACAGAGGTTGAACAAGCACAACGGCCTGGATCAGGGGTCCAACCGCCGGAGACTTCGGACTGACGGCGGGCGGTGGTATGACAATGACCTCAATCATCGTCTCTTCGAAGATGTGAGATCATCTCAAACGCCTTACTTGATATAACTTACTTTGTTGTCACGACTTCAGCGAGGCACTGGACCTTAAGAGGTTGAAATTCAAGTGACGATGATACTGTAATGGAATCTGTTCATTTATAACCGTTATCTGTTCCACGAATAGGAGGATCATTTGCTGTTCAGGTTAAACTCAGATTCACCAACTTCAGTAAAAAACCACGATTGCTTCTTAGAATGTCTCCACATCCTGTTACAAAAGCTATATGTTCTATATAAACTATATGTAACTATATCTCACTACTGAACAGACAGGACTGGTACAGCACCAATAACTTTCAAATATTGCCCAAAATGTCACAAAAGATATCAAAATTTAGGTCATTACCATTTAAAACCAGAGCTATATATGCCATATTTTGGCTGACATAAATATATGTGTCAATATGCATTGACGAATGTTCACAAAATGGTCCTAAGTGTAAAATGATATACAACTTTATACCCTTTGCAGTTTACACTCAAACATATTCGGGACAATATGAGACAAGAAGGTCGAAATGCGCATTGTACCGATGTTAAGCTTTTTGATAATCATACTTTTTGGAGGACAATTAAGATGAATAAGCATTATTAAGCTGTAAAACGTGATTCAGAAGAAGAAACTAAGATGTGACTATGACTTTGACAATTATGCTTTATTCTTAATTAGGACACACATTCTTAACATCAAACAAGACCAAAATTCATATCATATCAAGTGTTCAAAGCCATCTCTTTTATATTCGTTTACGAACAAATTCATTTTTCAGGCTTGTTCTATCCGAGTTAGATGAACCAGTCTGAACATGAAGGTCAATTCCCCAACAACGTCGATGCTGCTGCTGTGTTCATGACGTTGATGGTGCAAGGAGTTCACGACTTCACCATCGGACAGATCCCACCCTACATTGAACCCATGAATGAACCGGACCCCAAATTTAACATCCAGAATTTCACAACTGTTGCCATGTTCCACAAATCAGTTGCGGAGAAACTCCATGCAAGATTTAACATCAAAGTTCCTGGTCCTACACTTGATGGAGAAACTGGAGCGTAGGATAGAAACAATTTTAGATACTGGAAAAAAGTGGCCACTTTCATGGACGATACTTTTTAGATACTATTTAGACGTGTTTTCCTTTCATTCGTACAACTCACTTATTGTTTCTGGAAAATCTCACAATTCTACTGGTACGGATAAAGCTTTTTACTCAACTGCATTTCTCGAATCAAACTCAGCAAAAACTCAGCTGAGTTTTTAACTCAGGACTTAAGTTCGATCTCAGTTTGTTTTTTTATGCGATGTAAGCGGCCTTGGCGCGAGATTTGACTTCCGTTTCCAATGTAAACACGGAAGCGCGTGATGTTACGTTTTGTCGTCTGCTAACATATCCGCGATGGCTGAAAGCAAACTGAGGCCGAATTGGACTGCAGAAGAGCGAATTTTACTCATTGACAACGTGAACAAATCATCGTTCGACATGTATTCCAGTGGGTTTTCACGATCGGTAAGCCGCCTGGAAATAACCTGTCTCCTTCTCGATCTCCGCTTACGTCTATTAGCAATCGCCATTTTTGTCCGAATAAAAACTTAAGTAACCATGTAGGCTTACTTAAGTTTTATGTGGTTTCGAACTCAGTTTGAGTCGAAAATTGAACTCAGTTTGGTTGGAGAAATGCATTTTGCTGAGTTTTCTCAGATTTGAGTAAAAACTCAGACTTAAGTCAGTTTTTGAACTTATACTCCTCCAGGGATAGTAGATTTTGCGACAATATATCACTTCAATGCCCACCGATTTACCCAGCTCGGTCTCAGGGTGTTTCTGTTAGCCAACATAGAATATCCATATTACAACTGGTCACTTTTCACTAACCAAGGAGAACCCAAAAGAGTTATCGACGTCTTCGAGTTCTGGTACAAATTCACGTACTCCTTTATCAGAACTACCAGCCAGCTTGATGGAGAGGAACGAACCGTTAGCAATGTCAAGTTCTCAGCATAACGAAACGGTCATTCTCTTGCACAGCTATTCGTAATGATTAAGATGTGCAGTTTTGTTCGTGTGGGGTGTATTTGTCAAAATGAACCACCTACAGAAAGACTCATGACATTACAGATAAGGTTTAACGGGTCCAGAAAACCACCCGGCCAAGACCCAGGGCACACCGACAATTCGAGGCAGGGGAGATAACCAATACACGTCACCAACATCTGATATGCTCTATCAGTTAAATCGACGCCCATAATGATAAAGATTAAGACGTGACCTTGACGCCACAAAGCTTGGAGAGGACCTTTCGTTTCATCACTATTTGGTTGTGATTCATAGACACATTGTATGATGAAGTCGAAATCGTACAATAGACTTTGGAGTAGCCATAATCATTGACAGCAAGACATGAGCATTATAGACAGTATGCCTGTGACACTTATTTTTCAGTAATCCGTGCAAATATAGAATCTGCTCGCCACTCAATATTATCGTGAAAACTACATCTATATCAATGAAAATTAATAAGTATTTGAAAATACATATTTAAGTCATCACTAATAAGTCTAATATATTGATATTACGACTTAAGAGACATCAATAGTCGTCAACAACTTCTATTAAACGAAAACGGGCCGCCATTTTGAAATTATTTCTCCTTACACAAATCATAGAAGAGAGAAGCTTAAGTTTTCTTTTTATTGAATGAATGGATGAATAAATATTGTTTTACGCCGCATCAGCAATCCTCCAGTCATATACGGCGAGAACCAGTTAAAATTTCAAACACGTGCTTATAAAAAAAAAAAACATCCATAAAAGTATGATATCAAAGATCTTATAAAATGTCAGTCATATATCGCTGACAAATAGAAAAGACTTGACTATTTGGGTTAAAACCTACAATATTGTCCATTGTCATAAAGACGAATTTCTTTCACAAATGCTACAATTGTATGGCCATGAACTTGAATAAAAAGTTGTTCCAAAGTAGAAACATTAAAATATGTCGCACATATTAAATCCACACAGTCTTAAAGTATGTGTTTCATGGTAACTTGACATTGACAGGGAATACACATGGGAGCATCTTCTCCCTTTCATAGGAAAGCATGAGTAAAATTGTGAATGTCCTATACGACATCAGCGTAAAGCAACATCATCTACGGCAACCGACACTGATATTGTCAGTGGTTGAATATTGTGCAGCTTGTAAGTGGTTTGAGTATCTCAATTTGACTGCCAACATTTATTAACATATTGCCTAATAACTGGTTTACAATCAGTATATAGGTTCTTTTTATTGTGAAAAGTTGCTATTGTGAAATACTCATGAATAAAGAAAACGATATGTTTAACAAACGTTATCTTGCCTCTATCATAATGAACATCTGCATCTTTTCCAGTATCATTTTCAGACTTTTTACCCTAATATACAAGTTTACACACGTGTAAAAAGCGATAATAAATTTATCAGAAATATCTGAACGTACAGTAAACTTGTAGTCACGAACACATTTTAATACATGAATGAGGTAGCAAACATATATGAGATAACATACATCAAGTCAAAGCATTGTAAGAGTGTGCCATTAAATCACTGGAGAATGAAATAGTCGAGTAATTTTCTAACACAGCATGCAATGACACTGTACAGCGACGATCGCCGGATTTTGCCGAGTGGTGTCGGAAAAAAGCAGGGAAGCAGTGCGGTCAGTAGACCATGTCCAGGGTAGTTTCACGACCTGGTGACACAACTGATAACCAGTTAATTGTCCAATGTAGTCAATGATTTTCTTTTCACTAAACTCATGTAAAAAACTTCCAAGCAATCGTTTAATATATATTAGTGTGTATTTCCTTTTCTGATTATGGTGTTTCTTGATATATATTCATTGCAGATGTTTCAGGGTGTCTGTATGACATTTGGGTATAGGTCTGTGCGCGACATAGATATAACTTAGATAGAATGATGGTACATGGATACATAAAGAAGGTAGAAGCAAGCTACAATGCATAGATCGTTTCGATCCAATCTTTATTAATTCGCTTTCTTTTCCCCCCAAAAAACCAAGCCCATTTTTTATACAAACCCCATAAAAAAATCCTCAGGCAGAAATCTATTCCTTTGACAGATTGTTTAAAAAAAATGAATGGAAATAGTGGCGAACAGTGGCCTTCTCGAAGCCCAGACAGGAATCCTATCGAGCATCTATGTGAATCAATTAGGACGTAGGGTTAGAGCCAGTGATACTCTTGTACAGAATATTGACTTACACTGTTGATCATTTAAATGTGATGTGGGTATTATATTTGACTTCAAATAACATTTTTGATTGCTTTTTCATACCCATCTCTTCTGATCATCAAATTATCTTGGTGGTGCGATACTTGACGGGGTGTAATTTATTTTTGGTACTTATTAATTAATCTATATCTGTCTATTGAACTGACCAAAATGTCGAAGGGCCAATAACAAGTTGACTATTGCTAATCATCTAACAACAGAATGAAAAACAAATGTTTAATATGAGAATATAATGAATTTTGAAATGTTCGTAATAAAGTTTAACATTTCAGTATCTTGGTGGTACATTCTTCAGCACTGACAAACATGAGGGTAAATGTCCATGCTAATATGCATTCACGAATGTTTGCAAAATGACAGTAAGCGGAATACAATTCCACTAATCTACTAAGCAAATCGATTGTTTTGGCCAGAGGGTGGAATGAGCTGCCATTACACAAGGTCTCATCCGCAGGCTTCTTGGTTCCATGGGCAGGAGGTTTAATGTAGACATTTACAATAGTCGACACATCTTTTTCCACATACATATGGTCCTAAAAGCAGCATTGTAAACGTCACAAAAAGTATATCTTGAAAACGACACATGCGCTTTTAAAGGGGAACATATTTGGAGATAAAGCAATTTGAAAAGTGACTGGGACAACAATCTGGTCCAAGGGTATGTAGGTGACACATTTGTGATATCACACGATAAGAAGATCTCATGAAAGTGTATAAAACTTGCCGCTACACAGCAAGTGAGTGTTGACCTAACTTTGTCAGAAGTTGGTGTGTTGATATCCAGGTGAATTTGCGTAATGCTTCATGTGAGTACAAACACCCGTGTCGCCGTATGAATGTGAAAAGTGCATGTCAAACTGCATGCATGTCAAGAATTAACATATTGATTTACAATCCGACATCTCCTGTCAAAGTGAGTCAAAATAAGATAATCTATCGATTTGGATTATGAAAAGACAACACTTAGATGGTTGGTGCGTCTATGGGGACTCAAAACCAGAACAATCTTCTTTCATTTTTCATACACGTGAGTTGCTTTTAATGAATGATACGTTACAGGTCACGTTCCTGATACTAACATAACTTTCGAAATTTTTTTTGGAAGCATGTACTTTACAATGTAACATTATTTACACTTATTCTACGTTGGGTTTAAAAAGATATTTAGAAGTTGGTCTGAACCAGCACATTATTTAATGTTTGTAACATCTTTCGTTGCGTACTTCAGGTGCATTGTGAGAGCGTATATACTATCATTGTACTTTGATCCCTTCCAGAATAAACATTTCAGCATATGTATATGATAACTCACTTAAAAATACTCAATATTCAACAGATGAAGAGACAGGATGTAGCCATGAAACGTCGTTAAAAACAATAGAAAAGTTTCATATCATTATGTCTCAGTCGTCTGTTTTTATGTTTTATTTGCAAAACTACATGATTATTTGAACAAATGTTTCTATAAGCTGCTTATTGACCTTATATCAATGTAGCCAGATATGTTAAGTCTAGATGATGACGACGAGGAGGAGGAGTAGGATAACGGAGATGTAACGATCTCGCACATGTAACGGCTTTTTTTGAGTCGGTATCTAAGTTGACGTCAAGGTCACAATCCAGTGATCATTTAATTTTGCCATAACTTTACATTTACAGCAATCTGAATGGACACTGGCCTATTTCACCTTGAGCCTGTCCATAGGCAGTGTGTACAGTGACACGACGGTGACGATCCACTCTCAATGGTTGGCACAGGGAGGCAGTGCTCGCTATGACAGTAATAGGTGGAACAAGCACAACGGCCTTGATCAGGAGTCGTTTATTCCCAAATGTCGGAGCCTTCGGACTGACGCTGGGCGCTGGAATAACAATGGCTTAAGTTATCGTCTTTTCGAAGATGTAAGATCACCTTATACCAGTCATTTAACCAGTCAGTGTCTATCCACGGAGGGTTATATGTCAACCAACTGCAGTCTCTTCACAAACACTGAACATTAATCCAGTGTGACATCGTATAATTTTAACTACTTTGCTGACGTGATATTTATGCTAAAACACATAAGATTGTAAAGTGTATGGGAGCATGTACTGCATGCCGAGTGGTTGAATGTTCTTAATTGGAATTTGATACGTTGGATACGTTAGTTCAAAGGTGATATAGTCCAAATTACACTTCCAAATCGAAAGACACATAATTTCCCTCTCCTAACTGTTTACTTGATCGAATAAAAATTCTATTGTGATCAGTGGCCAGAGGACCCAAACCGAAGCGGCTACCCAGATCCCAACTACCTGAAGAATGCCACAAAACAGAAGGAACTGTTTTCCCTATACCTTGCTAACATTAACAGTGGTTATGAGAACGACATGATCATGATGTCGGAAGGTAAGAAGGTATTTGTGCACTAAGCCAAAGATAGAAAATACAATGATTAAAATAGGACATTAGGCAAACAATGTTCTTTGGCCTTGTTGAGAATAAAGAATGCATAATTATTCTGGGACTTTTCAACCCTTCAGATTCGGCAACCATTAAAGGCCCAACTTAATTTTACTTTAACCCCAAAGCTTGAAATTTGCAATTCTACATTTCATTTTAGTTAGGATACAGTGTTGTACATAACAGTTTTATTTGATATTTGTTTCAAAGCAAGTTAATAATAACCTTATTTTCCGGGCAATACATTGTTTATTTATGATTTTATTATCTTGAGTGAGGATATTGCACAAAAAGTCATATTAAAACATGCACTATTAACACCTGTTAGATGTACATATAAAGTAATTGATGAGGGTGACTTACACAATAAACTCCAAGCATTTGTACAATTTATTGCCAAAATGAGGTGCCTTGAAAAACACTTCGAGACTGGAAGGTCGTAAGGCACATGGTACACATGTCATGCTTCTTCATAATAATAATTTCTGGAGGGAACATCTACTATTTTCAATAGACATAATAAAGCTATTTCGGAAGAAGAAACTGAGATGATACCATGACTTTTGCAATGATATGTTATCCTTAGTTAGTCCATACATTCTTAGCTTCAATGTGTTAACATTTCATATCATAACTAGCATTCAAAACCGTTTCTTTTACATTCATTTACGACGAAATTTGTTTTGTACATATTTCTTTTTCTCATGCTTTTTACAGGTTTGTTTTACCCGAGTTGGATGAACCAGTCCGAACATGCAGGTCAATTCCCCAACAACGTCGATGCTGCTGCTGAGTTCATGATGCTGATGGTGCAAGGAGTTTACGAATTTACCAAAGGACAGATCCCACCCTACATTGAACCCATGAATGAACCGGAAGTCAACTATAACATCTTGAACCTCACGACTGTAGCCATGTTCCACAAATCAATTGCGGAGAAACTCCATGCAAGGTTTAACATCAAAGTTGCTGGTCCTACACTCGACGGGGAAACTGGATCGTCAGATAGAAACAACTTCACGTACTGGAAAATAGTGGCCAATTTCATGGACGTCACTTTAGACAATTTAGACGTGTTTTCCTTTCATTCGTACAACTCACTTATTGTTTCGGGGAAATCTTACAATCTTACTGGTATGAATGAAGCACGATTAGTAGCATTTGTCGACCTGGTTGAAAATTATGCCTATCTGAAGAAAAGGAAAATTGTCCCCCTGGTTATCAGTGAATATGGCCGCGATATTGTGTTAGGAATTGACAAATATGCTCAATCAGGTATAGTAGATTTTTCGACAATATATCATTCCAATGCCCATCGATTTACCCAGCTCGGTCTCAGGGAATACATTGACAGAGCAGTGGTGTTTCTTTTAGCCAATATACAAAATCCATATTACAACTGGTCTCTTTTCACTAACCAAGGAGAACCCAGAAGAGTTATCGACGTCTTCGAGTTCTGGTACAAATTCACGTCAGACTACTCCTTTATCAGAACTACCAGCCAGTATGATGGAGAGGAACGAACGGTGTCGCCGTTAGCAATGTCAAGTTCTCAGCATAACGAAACGGTCATTCTCTTGCACAGCTATTCGCAGGAGTCACAGGCCGTGAAGCTAGACTTTGAAGACGACTGGATCAAACCAACCACTGGAGAAGCTACTTGCGTTACCATCAATGACGACTGGTACCCGATCATCACCTTCAATGAAACCTTCGACATTCAGCAGACCCATGGAATTGTTGAGCTTCCTGCTGAAGCAACATGTCATTTTACATTCAAGACCCCTTCAAATAAACTGCCTTCTGTCACTCTCAACGAAACCACATACTACGGAGCTGATACACTTATACCAATCAAGGACAAATTCGCCTCAACAGTAATATATCTACCAAATGGACAATATTACAGTGCCAGACTGAGAGTTTCTGCCAGTTGGCCGATTAATGAAACAAACAGTGTAACATATCTAACCTTCAACGTTCACCGCCTTGACTCTTACTATAAGCTGTTTGATTCCGACAAGTTTAACAGCACCACCTATTGGGAGGTTTGGGAGTTTGTAGTCCCCACATCCTTATTTGTCACTGGGGCTAACCAGGTTCAGGTTCTCTTCTCTAACGACATGACAGCAGGATATGTTTCTTCATTTGCTCTTGTTACAGCCAAGTCTATCCCATCTGATTTGAAGTCATGATAATGATGACAGTTCCTCAAATGGGTTTTTATCGAAAAGAAAAACTGCCTTGGAAAATGCTCGATATAAGTAATTATGATTCAGTATGTTGAAAAAAATAGTCTGCCATAATATATACAAAGTTGGAAGGTGCTTGTTTAAAGACATATTTAGGCTGATAGTTTTAAAGAAACAATTATCTGGCTTTGCAGCTGTAGCTGAAAAAATGTCGTGTCTCCATACAAAATCCTCAATTGTAAAGTGTGTGCGAGTCTTTCCTAAATAAATGGAACATTGGTACATTGGATCAGATTTTACGTTGTCTATAGCGGTGGATGAGGAACACATTATATCTCTGAACAGAACAGAACAGAACCTTTTTTACACTCAGGCCGGGATCTTCGGCATATGAGGAATAAATTTGCAAACAGTATATACATAAGATGGCGGGGTGGTTTACATGGAAGATTTTACTGTTTTCATAATGACATTATAGAATGTTCAGAGTTTTTTTATTGACATTCATTTTTTTCAAAAAAATAAGTTCTTTAAATTAAAAGATATTTGGATTGTTACGTAGCATATGAATTTGGAACATATATGTCCTTGGGTGTTTAAAAAAAGGACAAAGAAACATATAATGGAATTCATCACCAACATCACTCATGTCGCAGAGTTTACACGTTCGTTCATTGACAGGGATTTGTGCCACCTACCTAGTTCAATAGGTAAATGGTGGCTTGAGGTTCTAAACAAAGAGAAAGGGATAGCTAATACATATCGCTTCAAGGATACCACCCAGATCTTCACCTACCACTTCAAGGTAACTGGATAAGCTGGAATGTCACCGTGCTGGATAAAATTGATGTTCATGTCAACAGATTTTTCTCTGATTTGACTTGCTTGACAATTTTGAGTCGTTCAATTTCGATACCTAAACAAAACTGATTTCACCGTAGCACCCAAATTTGTCTATTAAATCAGGGCACCAACATCCACAGAATCGTTCTATTCCAGTTATAAATGCCTGTTCAAAGGAGCCCACGTTGTCCTCAAAAGTTCTAAAACCTTAAACAACAATCGAGCAACATGCATTTTCGTTTCCGAAGAATGCTTTAAGACATGAGAAATTAGATAAGGATCACCTGATTTCTGCCCATAACATCTTTAAAGAAAATATATGTAATACTGTTTAAATGTTTAAAAGAGATCTTAGATCTCTTGACGCCTCTATCCATTATTTTTCCGTTTTCTTGACATGACTCCTTATCATTCTCCTTGACATCGTCTCCAGATATGGCTATTTTAGGAAAGGTATTTTGATCAGAATTACATTTTCCACTTCGAGTACTTGTTACTGTTATGATAAGATGTTTTGAACAAACTTACAACAAATCATTATATAGGGAGTTGATTTAAAATGTTAAACCACAATATTGCAGCTATGTCGTGGGACAAATTGATTTAGGGTTAGTCATAATATTTGAGTTCAGGAGATATCTTGGAATAGGATTTCTAAGGAGTAGCAAAAGGCAATGATTAATATGTGTAGTTTTCGTAGTGTAGAGTGCATTTGTAAAGAAAATCGCCTGTCTAGATTGGATTGGACAGACTGGATCCAGATAACCACCTGGCAAACTCCCTGGACATACCAACAGGTCGAGGTTGACGATATAACCAAGACACGTGACCAACATCTGGTTTGCTTTATCCAGTTAAATCGACTACTATGATAAAGGTTAATACGAGAACTTGAGGTCACAAAGCTTGCGATAAGAGTGCGTTGTAATGTTGTAGGAAGGTTTAAGGAGCATCTCGTGGGTATGTATGTAATATTCACGCCAGACTGAATGATGTATGTCCAGGATTATTGGCTTTAGTGGATGCCTTTTAACAACGGTCCAATTGCCAAGTCTTGGCACTGATTTACCTAACTGAAATAGTAATAAAAGAGACCAGTGAGACCGCCTCATTGCTTCTTCTTAAAAATAGGTATAAAGGTTCAGTTGTAAACACCCCTCCACAAGATGGTATGATAAGATGAATGGCTTCACTTTTCCAATAGTAAACTTTCCCTTTATGTCAAGCAATATTTCAGGAGCTCCAACCAACGTTATCTACATTTTACAACTTTTAAGGTACAATAAAGCATGCTTTTTCTACGCCGTTTTCAAACAGTGTCATACGAGTCATGCTTAAAAGTTGTTTTGATCGAGGTTATGAAATTCATGGCCTCAGAAAGGTTTTCGAAACGTTTTATGGTAGACGCCATTTCCAAATTTGAGGGATCAGTGAGTCAAATGATGTCAGATGTAATTTCCGTTTTTAACTTGTACCATATGTACCCGTGTTTTTTCAGATGAACAATTGTTTTCCCCTTACATGTGTTTGTGGCGAGTGCTATCGATGGGTCGGGATAAGCTCGCGAGCCCCTGGTATCGTCACTGTTTGGTTGTGATTCATAAACATATGCTTATGCTATTGTCGGAATCGTACAATGGCAATGGACTGCTTTCAGCAGATATTTCTCATGATTATGGAAATGTGTTTTGTCACTTTCCTTTCCATACAAGCTTGTCAAACAAGAGACTCTCGTCGAGGTTTGCCTTACAGAATTAGTACAGTCGGGAAATGGTCTAACGAAACCCGTAGCACTTTTGGATCCTGTCTCACATATTTGATGTCAAATCTTTGACCAAAAGATATTTTGGAGACATGTTCACTTCATTGTATTATTTGATACCATACATACCAATTTTTTTTGGAGATATTGCTAACTGTAGTCGGGTATCATAGACATGCTTCGTTCTCTGTAATATGTTCGTTGATCGGTTCACAGACTGTATTCAATTTATCACGAAGTACACGAGAAAAAGAAAAAAAGTTCGTGGTTTCCCAAGATTGGTACTGTTAGACAGTCGAAAATACAATATTTTCTGAATCAAACTGGGTTAAATTATTGAATATAATACAAAGTGTATATATACTCCAATAGAAATGCGCGTGTGGAAACCTATGATGTGTACTGTGCTTTTTTACTGTTGGGGGACGTGAAGGGTTTCTTGAGGTAGTCCACTGTTGATGGCATCAGGGCGGAAAATGGATTTGTCACATCGGGTGAGGGTGGCGATGATGGCCTACCAGCGCCAGTTATCTGTTGGCTTCCCTTGTTAACTTCCCACCATTTGTTATCTTATTACTCTTGTTGTTCTTACGTGTACATATATATGCCCTCTGCCTCATATCATTCATTCACCCGATGAAGGAGTAAGCATATACTCTGAAACGTTGTGTTCCTCATAATAAAGAAGTTGACATCCATAAATTCTCTTCCTGATGTGTATAACTTCTAAATGCCTTTCAAAGACTTAAAGTTTCCTGTTTGTCTAGTTGTATCAAGGGGTAGAAAATTGGATTTCTTGTTCTTTTCTGACCTATTCTAACCCGGAATCCCAACAATGGAAAAAAAAGTTGAAATGCAATTCCAAAATATCATTCTTTCTTTGAAAGGGGGCACGTGTGGCCCAGTCGGAGGCGCCGCAATTCGCTGTGCGTCCCTTGCTTCCCTTGAGCACGCCAGAAACCTATGATTGTGGGTTCGAATCCCGGTTATGTTTCTAGGTTTGTCAGGACCATATCCGTGACAATCTAAACCAAACCAAAAAGACGATATACTATTCAAAATAGTGCCATTTACACATATGTATGTGTACATGGGAATTATTATGTATATTTTATATGCTGTGTCCAACGTCACCTGATTAAAGAATAGATAAAAAACTTAGCTATGTGGAAACACAATATATGTAATTGATATGGACATGCATAATTGTATACATCATATTGACCTAAGTGATATTAAAACCATATATGACAATGTTAAGAGCCATTTTTTATGGTCAATACTAACAATTTTCGTCAACAAAATGAATGTCACCGTATTGTAAGAGTTGCAGTAGATATTTGTTAAAGACATTTGATTGGACACAGGTCTTTTTCACTTTGAGTCTGACAGTAGGCGGTGTATACAGTGACATCACTGTGACGATTCACCCTCAATTGCTGGCACAGGGAGTCAGTATTTGAAAAACAGATATTGTAATTATCGGACTTTGCAATGAATAATGAGATATTTAACATTATCAAATTCACTTTATACAACCATTCGATGAATTTGTTGACCTTTTAAGTATTAGAATGTCTCCACATCTTTGTGACGAAAAATGTATTTGAAATACTTTAGACACGTGTTACTTCATGTATGCATGTCTACTGAACTGACAGAAATGTCGAAGGGACAATAATGATAGAATATTGCCAAACATGTTACAACAGAAATATTTGTGGTGTATTCTTTATCATTGACATTGGTGGTGAATATATCAGTTCTTGACGCCACATTATGCCAGTATTTAGACTGAGGAGTAAATGTCCGTGTTAATATGCATTCTCGAATGCATTGAAAATGCATATTGATTGTATGGCTTGAGGGAAGAATGTGCAAATTGTCATCCGCAGGTTTCTTGGTTCAATGAGCAGGAGATGGTCGACACTCACGCTTGTAGATTTTATGACTGTGCAGAAACGTGTCAGTTAAAGTTTGAAGAACTCTGTGTTTAACTTTGTAATCTTCCAAACACACACGTGTTTTTTATATCTTTCCAAATGTCACAGAAAGAATCTCTTGAAAACTAAATATGCGTTTCTTTTTAAGTGGAGTATATATGGAGATAGAACAAGTCAAAAACTGTTTTGGACATGGCACATGGCAAATTCTGGCAAATTCTGGCAAAATCGTGACCTCATACGATAAGAAGATATCATAACAAAACTGTATAATACCGGCCGCCACACAGCTAGTACGTGTTGACCTAAGCTAGTAAGAAGGCAGTGTGTTGATAGCCAGGTTGATTTGTGTCGTGCTTAATGTGAGTATAAACAACCGCATTGCCTTATGTATGCCAATCCGACCTCTTCTGGCCAAGTGAGTCAAAATGAGACAATTGATAGGGAACTGGCATTATGAAAAAAACAATACTTAGAATGGTCGATTTTTCTGTCTGTGCGGTTCCTAAATAAGACGTTGGATCTTTTTTTTAAAAACATGTACTTTTCAATGTAACATATTAACACGTAATCTACGTCTATGTTGGTTTTTGGAAGTCATTTAGAAGTTGAATGAATGAATGAATGAATGAATGAATTGTTTACGCCGTATCAGTACATGTAAGAAAAATCACAGAAAAAGAAGAAAAACGTACTATGTTCGCTAAAACCTTTATCTTGTCATAAAGATGGATTTCTTTCAAAAAATTATTTCTATAATCTTATGGCTATGAACCTGGGTAAACGTTTGTGTCAAAGTTGAACCATGACATATGTACCCGTATTAATGCACCGCGTAAAGAAGTTAGAAGACCTTTCAATTCTACCTTAGGTGAAGTGTGTGAGTGAGAGTGTGAATAATATACCTTATCCTACTCTGAAGACACATATGAACATGTTTGTTTTGTTTGTTTGTTTGTTGTTTTAACGCCGCACTCAGCAATATTCCAGCTATATGAGTGCGGTCTGTAAATAATCGAGTTTGGACCAGACATTCCAGTGATTGACATCATGAGCATCGATCCATGCAATTGGGATACGATGCATATGAACATATTACGTATTATATGTAACAATTACTCAATATTTACATAATAAAGAGACTTGATGTCGTCTTGAAATTCGCGCTGTTACAAATTATAGAGAAGTGGTTTCAAACCATTATATCTCTGTAATCTGGTGTTATGTTTCATTTGCGAACGTACACGCTTCTATGAACAACTGTTTGTATAGACCTTATATAATTTTAGCCATATATGTAAAGCCTGGATGATGATGCAATTCGCCAAGGTCACAAGTCATCATTAAAGAAAGCCTTAACTTACATTTCACAGAACATGGAATGGATATTGGCCTATTTCACTTTGAGCCTGTCCATAGGCGGTGTATACAGCGACACGGCGGTGACGATCCACTCTCAATGGTTGGCACAGGGAGGCAGTGCTCGCTATGACAGTAATAGGTGGAACAAGCACAATGGCCTGGATCAGGAGTCCCTTATTCCCAAATGTCGGAGCCTTCGGACTGATGGCGGACGGTGGAATAACAATGGCTTAAGTTATCGTCTCTTCGAAGATGTAAGATCACCTTATACATAATACCAGATACTACTTACTTAGCTGATACTAGTTCACAGATAGTGGACTTTAACACGTTGAAATCCTGCGACGATTATGCTGTGATAGAATCTATTTATTTCAAATTATTATCTTTTATTAACTTTTTCTCAGATTCATGAACCAAAGGATCAACTTTATTGTTTCTCAGAAAGACTCCACATTCTGTTGCAAAAACATATATTCTGTTGTGCAAGCACTTGTTATTATATTTAGCAACTGAACTGACAGGAATGGCCTTGGAAACATATTGCCCAAACATTGTACAACACAAATGAAAATAAGATATCATTACCATTGAACATTAGACGCTTTATAAATCACTTCTCGACGCCATATTATCACTGCTATTTAGGCTGACATAAATGTTTGTGTTTATATGCTTTGAGGAATGTTGACAAAAAGGCTCCAATTGGAACATAATGTAAAACTCTATTGTGCAGACACGTGCTACTATATATTACTACTGAACTAACAGGAGGGCCCACGACCAATAACTGTGAAATATTGCCCAAAATGTCACACCAGTAACGAAAATAAAATTACCATTGAAAATCAGAACGACGATGAATCAATTTCTGGCACCATATTATCGCTGCTATTTAGGCTGACATAAATGTTTGTGTTAAAATGCATAGACGAAGTATAATATAAAACCGTATACTCTTTATGCCTTTTTCAAAAGCAAATAACACTTTGTTCTCATGATCTCTCCCCATAATAGTCTTACAGTTCAGGTACGGTGACCATGTAGTTACCCTAGAGGGGCGGTCGGGTAGCCTCGTGGTTAAAGCTTTCGTTCGTCTAGCCGAAGACCTGGCTTCGATTCCCATTTCTGTCTCCCTCCGTGATATTGCTGGAATATTGAGAAAAAAAACGGCGCAAAAACCATTCTCACTCACTTTTTGCTACTGAAAAACTAGAAAATAAACAAGATGCTTCAACATTAATGACACAATAGTTATTATGAGAATACAGTGTAAATTTTAATTGTTTTAGGCGCCCGTGATAATTTAATCAATGTCTATCCACATAGTGTTTTTACTTGTGAAACAACTGAAGTCTATTCACACACATTGAACATAAGAAGCAGTGTGGTATCAAAGATTTCAGCTATTTTGCTGACATGATATTCATGCTATATTTTTTCATTGTAAAATATATGGGAACATTTGCTGAAGTCCGATTGGCTGGAAATGTTTTTTAATCGAATTTGAAACTGCATCATAATCCAAATTTGGAAAAGATGTCATTGGAAGAAGGAACTACCGCATTCATTTTTAATGCCTTTGATTAATACTTGTCAGAACAAATGATTTTTCAGATTTAGCTTTTTGGTTTATAATTCTCTAAGGGTAAGTCGTTATGGAAGCATATGACACTATACCATTCCAGTGACGTAACCTAAGTCACACAACAGAACATATGAAAAAGTAGACTGCTATTGTTTTTTCAATGTAGTTGAAATTACTACAGATGTCACTGTTTACATGGTTGTCGAAAATTGTGAGTGAGTGAGTGAGTGAGTGAGTGAGTGAGTGAGTGAGTGAGTGAGTTAAAATTTAATGTCACATCGGCAGTATTTCAGCCATATCGTCGAAAATTGTAACAAATGTAATTTCCAGGTACGAACATTTAATAACGCCTTCATATCGGAAGACACATCATGTTCAACTCCTAACTGAATGTTTATTGGATTAAATAAAAAAATAATTCAGTGGCCAGAGGACCCGAACCGTAGCGGCTACCCAGATCCCAGCTACCTGAAGAATGCTACAAAGCAGAAAGAACTGTTTTCGGTGTACCTTGCTAACATTAACACTGGTTATGAGAACGACATGATCATGATGTCGGAAGGTAAGACAGTATTTGTGCACTGACCCTACGCCTCTTCATCTCTTCGTATTGGGCACCTAATAAATGCATATCTGAATTTTACTCCTACCTTAAAGCTTGAAATTTACAATTCTACATTTCATTTTAGTTATCAGATATGCCAGGATGCAATGTTGTTCACAACAGTTTCATTTGATAATTGTTTCAGAACATCGAATGAATATTTTCCTTATTGTCCTTGGTGTTTTTATGATTAATTTTCTTAAGTAAAAGGAAATTGCAGAACATGCAATATTAACATAATTAAATGACGAAAAGAATTATCTTCTGATGCTAACCTACAAAATACACAATACACTCCAATGATTTATACCATTTATTCTTAAAATGAGGTGTCATACAAAACAGGAGACTCTATGAGACAAGAAGGTCGAAATGCGTATTGTACTGATGTAAGCTTCTTGATAATTTGTGAAGAGGGCTAAGCATCATAAAGCTGACAAACGTGATTCAGAAGTAGAAACTGACATTCGTACACGACTTTGACAATGATATTTTATGCATAAATCAAATTCATGTTCTGTTGTATCATTGATTTTAGCTCTTAAATGGCCAAACTGGTTGAACCAGTCTGAACATGCAGGACAATTCCCCAACAACGTCGATGCTGCTGCAGAGTTCATGATGTTGATGGTGCAAGGTGTTTATGACTTCACCAAAGGACAGATTCCACCCTACATTGAACCCATGAATGAACCGGACCCCGAATTTAACATCTTGAATTTCACAACTGTTGCTTTGTTCCACAAATCAGTTGCAGAGAAACTCCATTCAAGGTTTAACATCAAAGTTGCTGGTCCTACACTTGACGGTTTTGCCAGAAATTCGGACAGAAACAATTTTACAGACTGGAAGAAAGTGGCCGATTTCATGGACGTCACTTCCGACTATTTAGACGTGTTTTCCTTTCATTCTTACAACTCACTTATTGTTTCGGGGAAATCACACAAGTTTACAGGTATGAATGAAGCACGATTAGTAGCATTTGTCGACCTGGTTGAAAACTATGCCTATCTGAAGAAAAGGAAAATTGTCCCCCTTGTTATCAGTGAATATGGCCGCGATACTGTGATAGGAATTGACAAATATGCTCCATCGGGTATAGTAGATTTTTCGACAATATATCATTCCAATGCCCACCGATTTACCCAGCTCGGTCTTAGGGAATACATTGACAGAGCAGTGGTGTTCCTTTTAGCCAATATACAAAATCCATATTACAACTGGTCTCTTTTCACTAATGAAGGAAAACCCAGAAGAGTTATCGACGTCTTCGAGTTTTGGTACAAATTCACGTCAGATTACTCCTTTATCAGAACTACCAGCCAGTATGATGGAGAGGAACGAACGGTGTCGCCGTTAGCAATGTCTAGTTCTCAGCATAACGAAACTGTCATTCTCTTGCACAGCTATTCGCAGGAGTCACATGTCGTGAAGCTAGACTTTGAAGACGACTGGATCAAACCAACCACTGGAGAAGCTACTTGCGTCACCATCAAGGACGACTGGTACCCAGTCATCACCTTCAATGAACCCTTCGACATCCAGAAGACCCATGGAATGGTTGAACTTCCTCCTGAAGCAACATGTCATTTTACATTCAAGACACCCTCAGACCAACTACCTAATGTCACTCTCAACGAAACCACATACTACGGAGCTGATACACTTATACCAATCAAGGGCAATATCGCCACGACAATAATATCTCTACCAAATGGCCAATATCACAGTGCCAGACTGAGAGTTGCTGCCAGTTGGCCGATCAATGAAACAAACGGTGTTTCATATCTTACCTTCAACCTTTACCCCCTTGACTCTTTCTATAAGCTGTATGATGCCAACATGATTGGCAGTACCACCTATTGGGAGGTCTGGGAGTTTGCTGTCCCTGCCTCCTTGTTTGTCAACGGCGTTAACCAGATACAGGTTCACTTCTCCAAAAACATGACCGCGGGATATGTTTCTTCAATAGCCCTTGTCACAGCCAAACTTGTTCCCTCTGATTTGAAGTCATGATGGATTTTTTTAAAATCGGATTTTTTCTAAGAAATAAAATTTCCCGGAAAATGCTTGAAAAACATAATTATGTTTCTGTCTGTTAAAAGAGAAATTGTCTGCCCCACAGTAACAATTTTGCAAGTCTTTCCTAAATAAAGTGAACATTGGTACATTAGATCAGATTTAACGTTGTCTATTGCGGTGTCTACAACTGGAATATGCTGGATAAAGTGGATGTTGTTGTGACCAGATATTTCACTCGGATTCGGTAGACAAGACTGTTATAACCATAGCTCCCATTGTGTCTATCAAATCATTGGTCCCAGCATCCAAAGAATCATTATGTTGTTTCCAATGTAAACACATGTTTATTTGAGCAAGGGATAAAAGTTAAGTTTCCTGTGACGAATTCACATAAAATGTTGCTGCCACACACATGGTTTTAAGACACACACCCGTGATTAGGCGTCCACGATGTTATCAAAAGCCCTAAAACCTAAAACAACAATTGGACAACATACATCTTTTTTTTTTCGAAGAGTGCTTAAAAACAATATTAACTAGATAAGGATTGTTTGATTTCCTACCACAAAATCTGTGACGAAATATATGCAGTACCGTTTAACAGAAATGTGTGCTTAGATAATTTGACGCATCTATAGGGTCTTGGTTTGTTGAGGTTTATATATTATATATATTTTCTTTTCACAATAATTCAGTTTGGAACAATTCATGAATAGCTTTATTTGAATAAGTACAAACATTCCCCATTCATATTTGTTGGGAAGATTGTACATGAATAATTGGAATACACCAAATTAACAAGTTGATTCTTCGTTTTAAAGAGCAATGTTTTACTGTGAAAACGCCTTTCCGTGAAACGAAAGCTAATGATTAGGGCCTGTTGTTCACGACATACTCCTTGACATGACACCTTACCATTCTCCTTGACACGACCTCCAGACACTATTTTAAGAAAGGTATTTAGTTGTTGAGCATAACATTTATTTTCCTCTTCGAGTATTTGTTACCATGACAGCATGTTTTTGACAAACCTACTATATACTACCATATTGTCAGTTTGATGTAAAATGTTACAACACAAATTGCAGCTATTTTGCCGGACAAATTCATTCAGGGTCTATCTGAGTTCACAAAGTCTTGAAATAGGAAATTTCTAAGTTTTACCATAAGGTTATGATTAGGATCTGCAGTTTTGTTTGTGTTGGGTGTTTTTGTCTCACGACATTACAGATAAGACTGAATGGATCCAGAAAATGACATGGCAAAGATCCATGGCATACCAACACGTCAGCTTTATTCAGTTAAATCGACGCCCAAGGACGCCAGCGCCTCATTACTGACCTGAACATTCACGTCAGTTTTTGTAGATATCTTCGTAAACTTTGCCTTCCGTACCTCAGCTTTTGCAACGTGTCATGGAGCTGTGAGTTTATCATTATATAACAGCTAAATGTAGCAATAGATGACAACAAAAGGATTGAAAAAAACAATCGGAACTATCAAGCTTCACTGATGAAGTTAATCAGAGCAAATACACAAGCGGCTTAGCTAAGCAATGGTATTGCAGTAATAAATTGAGAGTACCCGAATCAACACTTTGACAAAATAAAGCCAAGAAGCATAGACAGCCAAATAAGTCGGCTGAGACCAAGTAACACCTATGTTAATTAAATCAACACTCTAACGAGTGAATAACTTCGGCTGGGTTAAATAACAAGAAATGAACACAGAAGGTCTATCCTTAAAAAATCCACTGGAAAATAAAATAGATAAGGACGTCTGAATATCAAACTCGTCTAAAAGACGAAAATTAAGCCACTTTGACCTGAGCAAGGACATTCTAAAATTCCAAAAAAACGCTAGACAATCAACGGAAGGTTGGTATCCACAGATTACTAGAAAAGGGGAGTATTGTAAATCCTAGTTACCAAGTTTAGCTCAATACAACCAGAGTAAGTCGGTACTGGATGAAAAGTACCCCGTAATCACTTACTAACGAAACTAGAGTTTCGAGCGACCGCCCAGTAGCGTGCTGTCCCTTAAACGATCTAACAAATTCTGGGGAAAAGACACAAGATTCTGACACAGTTTACATATACTTGCGCGCGGACCTCGGAGGGGTCTTTCCCTCCTAGACAGCCAGGGAACAGTATAGTCTGGGCGTGCTTAGTGTGCTTCTTAATATGGGGAAAACAGGAATAGCAAACTTACTACTATATCCATACGGAAGATGTGAATATCAAAACAAAGCGCTGAACATTAGCTATCCAACGGTATCATTAAAGATTTACAAAAAAACATGTACAATTACTTAGGGGTCAAAAACGATCATAAATACATTAGACGTATCTAAATTGACATGGAACTTTCGTGCTACAGCGTAAAATGAAAGTCACAATAACATTTGTAATATGTACACGAATAAGGTAGCAAACATATGTAAGAGATCATACATGATGGGGCAGACCTTGTATGTAATCTCTGATGTCTTCAGTTGAAACCGTTATTGTAAGAACTACTTATTGGAAATGTATAATTATAGTATTTGTTGTATATTGATTTTATCTATCTCTATTGTCGTACCGTGAGGCTTTGTTAAATATGATGATGATGAGTAACCAACAAGTATTGTCAATCGACAAATTCAAATTGTGGTTCTATATATTTTGCTGAAACTAATTGGAACCTTGAGTCGTCAATGACACGGTTGTGACTATACAAACTCAGCAGTTGCAACAGGGACATAGTCTTCGCTGTGAGAGTTGCAGGTGGAACAAGCACAATATCCTGGATGGTTAGTAGTTGCAACTGCCTACCATGGCACATCACTTTACCATCTTGTATTGGAGTAAAGGCTAGCCAGCTAATGTAGGTTTTAGCTTTACATTCTCGACATCTGTAATGAAAATATATGGCCTATGGGGCTGAAACTTTGCATGTAGCTGTATAGATTTGTGTCACCCTCATACGACTAAACTTCATAAAATTATTGATTCATAAATCAGTTTTCTTGGCTCTATATGTCCCTTTAGAAAAAAGTTTGGAGCATCGTGAACACAACGCATCTCAGAATAACATTGAGAGTTGTACTGAGAAGGCAAACCCGTCAGCGTACGTTTTATTATATATATCATGTAGAACCGAAAAATGAGTATCCGCTAAGGAATTGGCGTTTAAGTGAGACTGTGGAAGTATGTACAGCTCCTCGTTCTACATAAGCTGTAGGACCGCCTCCGTGGTCTAAGTGGTAGAGCGTCCGCCCGAAGAGCGGAAGGTCCGAGGTTCGATCCCCGGCCGCGTCATACCAAAAGACGTTAAAGGATGGTACTTGTTGTTAACCTGTCTGGCGCTCCTCGGCATTAAGGGGCTAAAACAAGGACTGGTCAGCTCGGTGTCAGTATACTGTGTCTGAGTGGGGTGTTCATGTTAACTGCGGCATGGTATCTCAGTGTGCTAGCACTATAAATCGGCATCAGTCCGCACTAGTACAAGCAGCCACACACACACACGTGCATGCACGTCGCTATATAAGTGGAATGATCTTGAACGCGACGTTAAACCCCATTTAACCTCACCTCACCACATAAGCTGTAGAGAGAGAGGCAATGCCATGCACTAACTTCTTGGCAACCTTATCACGACACCTACATAACTGCGCCATCCCTTATTACATACATGTACATTTGTAGAATGATAGTGGCAATGTCAACGTTGTCTGAAAACAAAGTTGTTCGCGATATTTTTGCAATATCAGTTTAAAGTTTCATATGCCAGAGAAATGAGTATAAATCATTGCGTTTCAATTTTAATGTATTCGTTTGATATACTTGTCTTCCTTATTAAATTTTAGAGTGACAGGGTGACAGGCACATACTCCAAGGCTACTCTATCACCACACCTACATACCGACGCATGTTCTTATCATGTACAAACATTTCTAGAACGGTAGTGTCAAAAGTCACGGATGTTTTTTTAATGAAATCTAACTATAAAGACTCGATTGTAGTGTGTAGATGACCAGCTGAACCTGAACAGCTTCGTGAGTATACCTTATGTATGTATGTATGTGTGTGTGTGTGTGTGTGTGTGTGTGTGTGTGTGTGTGTGTGTGTGTGTGTGTGTGTGTGTGTGTGTGTGTGTGTAATGGATGGATGGGTGGATGGATGCATGTGTGTTATTAAACCATGATAGTTCGTTTTATGTGAATAGCAAACATCTTTTGTCAATGAAATAAACCCAAGTCACCGTACTGTAAATAAATCATTTCCTTAAATATCACGTTTGTTGCAGAGAAAAAATGAAATGGACGCAGGTCCTTTTCACATTTAGCCTGACAGTAAGCGGTATATACAGTGACACCACTGTAACGATCCACCCTCAATGGTTGGCACAGGGAGGTAGTGCTCGCTATGAAAGTAACAGGTGGAACAAACACAATGGTCTGGATCGAACATCCCTCATTCCCAACTGTCGGAACATTGGGACTGATAGTGGGCGCTGGACAAACAGAGACCTTAACGGTCGTCTCTTCCAAGACGTGAGATCAACTCATGAATAATACTAAATATTACTTGCAAATGAAAGCTGTTTCTAGTCTTGTTCACAGTTATTTTAGACATTACTTAGTTGAAAGCAAAGCACGGTGATTATGTGATGGTATATATTCATTTAAATAACCATCCTGACGCCACATTATGTGAGGTTTTAGACAGGGTAAATATCCGTGCTGATATGCATTGATAAATGTCCACAAATGTCACTAAGTGGAATACACTTTTACTAATCTTCTAAACATATTGAGTGAGAGAGTTAAAATGAATATGTATTGTAGTGGCCAGAAGATCCAAACCGTAGTGGCTACCCTGACCCCAACCATCTGAAGAACGTCACCAAACAGCAGGAACTGTTCTACAAGTACGTTGAGAACATCAACAGTGGTTATGAGAACGACATGATCATGATGGCTGGAGGTAAGAATCTTCGATATGATGGCACTGTAGCCATGACATTTAATAGATCAGGCCAAGACAAACCAATGACAATTTTTAAAACAACGTTAGTTTTATTGTTTGTTCGCTAGACCTCCAGTAGCAGACGACATTAGTGAAAAACTGGCCACCATCTTTGGGCTATTCTCATGTTTGCCCATGG